TATATATATATATATATACATATTATTATTATTAACAAAATCTTTAGTATTACAACCGCTTGTTTACTAGTTCATCTTGTAAAGGAACATATACAAACACAGTTTAAACCTAGTCATTGTTAATTAGACCGCGATACGATATTATTATTATTAACATTATATATAATATTATTATATTTATTATTATATTCATTAACATATTATTAACATTACATATATAAATATAGAAATTACAGTGACATAATAATATAATAATAATAATAATAATAATAATAATAATATGTATTTATTAAAATTAATATGATTATAAGCATAGCAAGCTAATTAACGGTGTTATAAACATTATGTGTGGGAGCAAATTTGTTATAAGATCGCAAAACACGTGTAGATAATTGCCATTACGATTATAATACGCATATACCGATCGAGAATTTATGCAAGTCAATTCTATTATTGTCATTTTACTTATAGCACTAACCCCCTCATTTCAAGCGTAAGCAATCGGATAAAATATGATCAATAACTGAAGAAGAATAATATAATAATATCCGTTTTTGAATACTCGTCATTTGATATTATCCATTTTCCCAAAGGTAGATAAAAAAAAAACCGATCGAGAGAGAGTTTCATCGAAATCTGAGAGATTTTCAGTTCTTCTTACGAATCTTCCAACACCCCTCTTTCAATACCCCATGTGATGTTCAATGCTATGTGTTAAGAGAAGAGGGCTTGTAAAAATCCATTTCTATGTGGGCGTTTCTTATGTTGAACTTTTTCTTATATTAGGTGATGCTAGGGCTAGCTAGAGAAAGTACATATCTTGTTACCAGAGTTGACTTCTAGTTGGGTGATAGAAAAAAGTAGGGGATAAGGGGGATAAAAAAACTTCATATGTCAAGTCAACGTGTTTTTCCTTCTCTCTCTCTCTCTCTCTTTCTCTTTCTCATTTCCTTTTACTATTTTCTTCTATTATCTGACCACTCACAGATGACATTGCATTCTTCATTTCTGGTTATCCCTTTCCATTTTTTGTCTGCAAGAAGAAAGGTCATTGAGAGAAAGAAGTATCCGAAAGTTACATCCAAAGAATAAACGAGAATAAGAGTTGGTATTGGGTAAATTGAGGAAAGAAAAAGGGAAGCTTAATTTTAATCGTCAAATTATCTTCAAACTATCCCGCAGACTAGATAATTCGTAAAGGAGTTTATATTGGTTTTTGGTTTTAACAGGAAGGATGGGGTGGGGTTAATCTCAAAGGACATTGAACTCAACGATCGATCTTAAGGGGTGGATGAACTACTGTTAGATATATATTCTCGCTTCCACTGATGCTATTGGTATTGGTGATGCTGAAACTTGGTAGTGGTGGTGGTGGTGGTGGTGGTGGTACGATGCAACCACTGCTAGCTGTTGATGACAATTGTGGTGGTGAGGTGTATGCACTTGGGAAAGAATCAATATTCCTCTATCCTCGTTTTCTAAATTGTTAACAATTTGTTTCATTCCTTTCTTATATTTTGTTTTGTTTATATTATCAATTTGATTCAAAAACATAAATAAGAACATTTGGATAAAATCGAATTTTTATTGAGTAACAAGCATTTGTTTGTTATTCGAATTTTTATATGATCAATTTATTATGATTATATTATTTATTACGTAATATGTTTATACGAAGGATCTATTATTATTACTGACACAGCAAAAACTTGCTTTTGATCTAACGGAAAATGTTGGAGAATTGTAACATCGAAATTTTACGAATAGGTAGGGTAGAATGATACGTAGTATTCGTATAATTTATTCCTATATGTTTTGTAAGTTAACAAGACGAAAAGTTAAACCTTTTTCTGTGGGCGTATGTTTGTTATTTTCACGATGGTTGTATTCAATCTGGATTTTGTTCGAGTATATCATGAATGTCACCTTATCAAGATGTAATTTAACCGTGTCCTCAATTGCGAATATACATGACGATGAAAACATCATCCTATATAGTCTCTTTCACTTACTCCTCCTATTCCCGTATATAAATTTTCAAAACTATTGAGAAATATTACTAAGGTCCTTGAAAAAAAAAAAAAAAAGGAGAAATGTACAAGAAGAAAAACAAAAAGCAAAGAGAAAATAAAACTGGGGAAAAAAAGTAATAAAAAAAAAAACAAATACAATTTAAATAAATATAAATCACATAGAAGAGAAAAATAAACCCTTGGCCTTGGATTAATCAATGTTTTAACCCCCCCCTTACCTCCCCTTAAATGCATAGTGATTGGTTTGTTGCAATGGGATGTTCAGAATTTTAAAGAAACGGAAAGGAAATGAAGCATTCAACTTGCTTTTATTTTTCTTTTTAACATTTTGTCCTTGTCTTCTTTTCTGATCCTTCCTTCCTTTCTTTCTTCTTCTTCTTCTTCTTCTTTTTTTTCAATCTTCCTCGTTGGGAAGATTAATTGAAATCTACCTTCTTCGACGTTCACTGATTCCTTTGGTTGACAAATGCGTCGTAGGGACGATGAACTTGGACAAATGTTGCAGAAGAATTGTCCCTTGTATGTGTGTGTGTGTGTGTGTGTGTGTATCTGCATTTCGTACTTATCCGAAGAATGATTTGACAAAGAATATCTATCAAATCATAGAAATCATATTTCCTCTTTAAATGGATCTAATAAAAATAGACATTTTATTGGAATCATTGGATTGGAAGGGTTCGTGGTGTTCAAAACCAATTCAACGAATCGCTGACTCTGCTGTTCGTTTCGGACAATGAACTTTAATAAAAGTCGTGAAGTTGATTTGTTTTGTCCTACCTTTCCGTGGGTTGTATCTATTTTTAAATAGAAATAATTTGACTATAAAATCCTTCTTACTGAGAAAACTTTTGCTTCAATGAACAATCAAAATGATGTTTTTCATTAAAAACGGATACAAAATTAAGAATTCGTAGAAATCTTGTGATTATAATAAGCATCAATTGGGAGAAACATCGTTTCGTCATAATCCAAAATCACCCATGCATTAGGCGACACACGTAACCGTGATACTTTGTTTATATTCACGTAATCTTCTCAGGGTATTGCTATCATCGCTTATGTAATTATAAACCATGAAATGTAAAAACAAAAGGTTCTGTCTTATGCAACCATACGCAGTAGTAGGTACATGAACAAAATGTGTATTCGAGTAGGGAACTGTTTCGTTCAGAAAATCGATGGTTGTTGTGCTCGAGTTTAAACAACAACATTTATTACAAATTTCGAGTGACTCATATTGTTTTTTTTTTTTTTTATTTAAAAAAAAAAAAGAATGTATTGAGGAATATTTTTAGTAATAAACAAAAAATATAAATCCCAAAATTACGATTATTTTTACATAGTAATAATGTGTTTCGATTATAAACAAACATAAATGTTAAATCATCCCCCATTTGTAGATACATATATAATATTTCCCAACACCGGTAAAATAAACTCAAATATTAGTTTTCTTTAAGCATCAGATACATCAAATTCTGACAAACGTAAATAATTATTTCTCATAACAGGTTGTGCAATGGACGCAAATATAATATAAGCTTTCCAGAAATAGAGTTCGTTGCGTACATTATTACGCTTTGACACATTTCCTATTTGTTCGGATATTCAATCAGATTTGTTAGACAGTTACGCTTTGGTTCATAAAATATCTCGTAATTATATGCGTTATGTCTCGCGATAATAATAGAAAAAGGAAAAGCGAATATATAATTTTGATGCTTATATCAAATTGTTTATTTGTAAATAAAATATTTATTAATGTCGATCCTATAACAACTCTATGTATATAATCAATTTTTATCTAATAGACATAATGAAAATAACATTGGATTATATCATTAACGATTTTTAATATTAATTATTATTATTAATAGTAAGTAGTCTTACGTGAACGCACATCGATATTTTCCCCCTATCAGTTTATACATTAACAACGATTAGACAATACTGCCAATTAAGATGTTAAATATATATATATATAATATTAGGAATATATAATATTGCATTACATGGTTATTGTTATCAATATAGAATATGACCATATATATAATATTAGGAATATATAATATTTCATTACATGATTATTGTTATCAATATAGAATATGACTATATATATATATATGGGATATATATAATATTAGGAATATATAATATTGCATTACATGGTTATTGTTATCAATATAGAATATAACCATTTATGTTTAATTATGTATCTATCTAATTAATTATAGATATTGTTTTGTGTATATATTACGTGTTAATATTTATTTACTCTATAAATATATATTCCATTTATATTGGTACGTGTTTTTCTTCTTAGTAAATAATATTCGTATATTCGATCAGGTAAACTTTATTAAATGTTTTTAATATTTATAAGATATTTATTTATATATATATACGTATAAATAGAAAGAAACGATGTTGCATTATTAAAAATATCAAATAAATAATTCGCATTTCCTTAACTTTAAACAAATGTAACAAATCCAATCATCAGAATGATTGAAAAAAAAAGGAAAAAGAAAAAGGAATCTAATTTACTCTCGAAGAAATTATAAATAACTTGCGGTCGCAGGTGCAAACCTGCTGTTTCAGGGACGGCCAACGAACCCTAGAAAAGGAATACAGAATATGCTACACACTGTATATGTGTATGTATATTTTTAGTTATATTTTTTTTTTGTATTATTTTACATATTGTTATATTTTCCTTTTTATTCTCCCTTTATCGGGTTTGAATCATTTCTTTACTAACACCTTTCTGTTACATTGGTTCAATACTATCAAAAAAGTGGTACACACACGGTGTTTTTTTGTCTTTTCTTTTTTCAGATGGGCCACCCATCTCATGTTAATCTAACCATGCCCACGTGTTGCTTGACTTTAAATGATTAATCGAAAATTGGTAATCCAACGTCGTGACCAGATCTCTTTAATTATTTTTTATAATATTATATTATATTTATTATTTATTATTATGAAATATAAAAATATTCTACATTATATTCTATTCTAAAAATATTCTATTCAATTTATATATTATATAAAATAAAATATAAAAATTACTCCAATGAGATATTCTAATGAATTCATTAAATAACAACTAAATAATTTTAAACGTTAGTACAAAAAGTTAATATAGAAAATCTTTGACGAAAGAAAAGAAAATCTGTGATTGACGTAGTGGTTGAAATTACGATTGGAGACCTTGGTTCTTTGTTTGGTGGCCTTGGCAACGAACGAGTAATCCCAGTTTCCAACGAATACATACCCACAGTGTATAATATTCTTACTAACATACCAACATTATTTTTTTTTTTTTTTTCAAAGATAGATTAACTTCATTTGTGTGTTCGTTTATGAAAAAAAAAATGAAAAAACACACAGACAGACAGACAGAAAAAAAATCACCTTTGCTCTGTAACCAGGTAGAAAAGAAAAAAAAAAAAAAGAAAAAATAGTTGCATGATGAAAGCTACGAAATCAGACGGCATCAAACGATCACGTACGATTACGAATTTTGTCGAGTTGGGTTCTGTTCTGATACGTGACAAGAATCTATCGTAAATTTTGATCGAACTGTATGTATGAAGGAATTGTAGACAGTCATATATCGTTCACATCCTACTACATATATATGTATACCTGCTAGGTATATCTTATTTTACATATGTAGAACGTATTCACTAATATCATGTGAAGTTTCCGAAGGAAGAAAGTAGTCATGACAAATTCGTGCATTGCTTGAATTATTTTCGTGTTTGATTCTTTTCAGGTACCAAGTGAAAACTGCATTTAACTTAAAGTACGAACAAACGAAATCGAATTGAATGAGGTTGAAAAAAAAAAAAAAAAGGACAATGTTAGTTAAAACTCAGATGCATTTTTTTTTGTTCTTGCTTTTCTCAAGCAGAAGATTTATTGATTCTTAATTGCATGTGTTTACCGATGACTGGGGGGAAGGGTGGAAAGAGGGGGATTGATTGAAAAAAAGGAACTGAGAGACAAAAAGGATAGGATTGATTTTGTTCAAGAATTTTTATGGAAGAAAATGTTATCGAAGGATTTTTGTTGTTGTTGTTGTTGTTGTTGTGTGGATACATTTTGACATGAGTGATAATAAACGTGGAAGGTAAACGAAAAAGAACAGGATTAGGGGAACAAAATTATTCATTGCGAGTAAACGAGGGAGGGAAGAGAGTTCAAGAGAAAGAGAAAGGAAGGAAAAAACAACAAAGTGGAAATCGATGAATCTCGTAGCCGGGTTGTTTGATGATCTTATTCTGTTTTTGTGGTTTTTGTTTTTTCTTTCTTAATAGTATCCAGTTTTGTAGACCAATGGAAAATTGATGATCGGTGAAGGATAATTGTATAATGAAGGTGCTGAATACGTTTTCGAGTAGATCAATGGCGTATCCGCACTGCGAAGTAATGGTAAAGCACCAATGCCATTGTAAAGTTGAAATCCTGGTGCTGGTTCTGGTGCAGGTGCAGGTGCAGGTGCAGGTGCAGCGGCGGCGAAGGCCAAAAATGCGCCGAAAAGGAACTAAATCATAAAGCATGATCACATTTTTTTTTTTTTTTACTGTTGAATACAATTAAACCATAAATTATTATATTCTGTGTTTATCAACTTTTTTTAAAGTCACTTTGATTGATGTAACGTTTGTACACGCATACATTATTTTCTTGTTGATGTTACATGCATTATATTAGGAGGATCGAAAAGTAATGTCGTTACTACGCATGTGTCAAATTTTTATATTTAATATTTTATTCAAAAAAAAAAAAGAAAAAAACCGTTTAATAATTCTTATCGTTATAGAAAAAAGTTGTTGATAACGTGATTAATTAATTTAATGAAATAATTTAATTATCGATTATTAATAAAAATTTGTTTGAAAAATTTATTCGTTTGAATTTTGAGGTTAAAAAGCAACATTATACTTTCCGGTTTACCTAATAATTATTATTTGCACGAGAAAAGCACAAATATTTAGTTAGATATAAATAGAATTTAGATAAAATTAGGAAATATTTGGTTTTCTTTGAAATCACTATAATATATACTACAAATATCTAAATTATTTTACACACAGATATTTTCAAATATCAAATCATCTTGGATTGAGTATCATTTTTCTAAACAACACTGCAATTAGACATTCTAAATATTATAATTCTAATAAATAATACTAAATATTAATTATATTAGTTTCTATTTAAATTTAGTTACAATCGAACAATTATGAGAGAATACACTATACAAAAACACAATTTATAATAGACCATTTAAATAATTCAAACAAAAATGTAACTCTGTCATCTATTTCTAATTTTAAAAATGAACTAGATATTCGTATATTTTTATGTATTGTATATAATAGATTAGAATAGAAAAATCAAGAATAATAATAATAATACTAATAGTATGAAAGAAATAATGAAGTAATATGATTTGAACTTACCAACTTGAACATGTTGATTCTACTTGAGTTGATTGGTGATAGTGGAGTAATACCTGAAAATACGAGACGCATCTCTCTTATATAGGAGGATTCTAGTGAATCCTCTTTACATCCCTTTCCCCTTGCCCTACGCATTCAATTTTTATACTTGCTAGGCATCAGACGATGGAGGACATCGCCCCTTCATCTTCGTCTTATTCGTCGTCGTTTGTAGTTGTCGTATTGTAGAAAAGAAAACGAAAGCAACAGTTTGTTTCTTCTTCCTCATCTCCCCCCTTTTTCTTTTTTTTTTTTTTTTACTTTTTTCGTACCGATGCAACCGACCAATGAAAACGATGGATATTTCTCGACGCTTTTACAAGATAGGCCTGACTGACCATGCATCAGAGTAGCAAGTAAGGGGAGGTCATCGCAATCCCTCAAGGTTATTCCCGTTCCCCAAACCGGGTTCTGAGTTTCTCTCCNTTCTGAGTTTCTCTCCTACTTTTCCAATTTGGCCTCGGGGATTAATACAAAGATTGATCACGGAATCGGAAAATGTTTAAATTACTAGTTCATATTTGAAAGTAAAAAAAAAAAAAAAAAAAAAATTCATTTTTTAAGCAAACACATAATTATTTAAACAATGAGTTTATTTGTTTATTCGTTTGTATTAAATCGTCCCTCCCCTCGCCTCCCCTCCCCTTCCCCCCCTATTTGTTTCTAACTTTTTTTCAAATAAATTTTACTTGCATAATATTATTTTTTTTTATATTTTATGTTACTTACAAAATTTCATATCTTCTTAGAATAAATTTATTAAATCAAATACGAAATGATTATTTGTTTTTTTTTTTCTGCAAAATTTTATGCTTCCACATAGTACAATTTTTTGAATAAATTTCTATACATTTGTATTTCTTTCAAGGAGAAAAAAGTTTATTTATCTTTTTAAATTATTGTTATCATTTTCTGATTTGACCATAGGAATATCCAGTTTAACATCATTGTCATCCTTTGCCAATTTCTTTGAAAACAATAATCCACCCCCTTTGCAATTCGATATTGCATTTATCAACTCGTAGTACAATTCTCCAATTTCTTTCTCCAATTTGAAAATTTGATCTGTTCGTTTCATTTACAAAGTCGTTTACACAATTAAATCCTATCATTACGAGCCTTCAAATTACTGACCGCCATTAATTTCTCACCGAGTCCTTGAACCTTTCTTCCTACGTGCGCATTTACAATTCGCTTTTACGCAAAACGAAACAAACTTTCGTGTCAAACAAATGCAATATCAAAGAGGAATATTATTAAACGTTCCTTTCTTCTGTTTAAAAAAAAAAGAAAAAAAGAAAAAATTAAATAAAACATTCGTCATATTTATTTTTCTCATCCCTTTTACGACTACGACGCACATTTTCACACTTATTAAAAATACTATTCTATCAAAGTCTCATTTTTATTTCCGCCTTTCTGAATTTTTATAAAACAACACACACGGTGTTTTTATATTTTGATTTTCTCAAACGAGTCAATCCATTCCATTTTAATAACCATCTCAAACGTTTGTTGTTTGATATTAGTACGATCAATTGAAAATTTGTTATCAAATTTGACTAAGCCTTTGTCTCAATTTTAATATAAAACGTTTTACCACCTGTTGAAATTTTATTTTAATGTAAATAATCAATCCATCGTGTACAGCTTAATCTGAATATAATTTTGAAAATATTTCACATTCATGCAATCTATGAATTGGATTTGAACGAAATACAAAATGCAAATTTGCCCAACGCGTAAATTAACACGTAAACGAGAAACGAGAGGTACGGAGAGGTTGATTAAAATGTGATTCTGCTATTTTCTTTCTCACAATTTTTTTTTCTTCCTTTTTTGTTTCTTCCCTTCTCTCTCTCTCTTTTTTTTTTTTTTTTATAAGTACCAACCAGACTCGGCAAACTTGAACTTGGGAAAAAATATGTGGGCATTACCTTGAAGTGTTCTCTGACATCACATCGAGATCCGGTTGAAGCGAACGTTCTCTTCAAACAGGATTGACCATACACGGAAAATGGTAACACATTACAAACTTTTTCAACGATCACGACTTTTGAGATTGTTCGAATGCTACCTGAATAATTAAAAATGTTAATTTCGAGAATTAATTATTCTACAGATACAAAATCAATTACTGATGTGTATTACATACTCGCGAATTTATCAGTTTTTTTTCTTTTCGGTTTCACACATGTAATCAATTACAAAAAAGCTAATTATGATGTACCAGGATTTATATACTTTATTTAAAAATAATTATTTTTCTTGTAATTACCTGATAACCCGTGATTATAACTAATTCATTCAATTGGGTTTAAAAATGATTTAGTAACCTTTAACATTTGCATCATCGATTTCATTACCATCTGACTTCGATATAATTTCATTTAAAATATATAAATAAATTTTGATTTGCGTTTTATATCCAAGAAACGGATGAAAAAGATTTGATATGAAAATATTTCATTTTCATTGATATTGGTTTTATATTTTTCTGATGTATCGTGTCCTTCTCTCTTACAAATAGACAACAGTTATTTAAAGACGACCTTAAACGGATAAGAAGTTTAAGTCAATATATAAGAATCTTTTTAAGAATGTTATATTTTTATTGAATATGGTTTCTTTTTTTTTCAATTAAATATTTTTCTTATAATGATTATGTCATAGGTCGTTCATTGTTAAAAAATTTTACAATAAAATCTGTCATAAGCATGAAAAGAAAAATAAGGTAAACATTTATTGTCATTCATGCAATTGTATCAATGAAATACTAAAACTTAATAAAAGCCGACGACGACTGTAAGAATTCTCCATAAAAAAGCACATCGATAGTATCAAAAAAATCTGTGAAAGTATTAACAAAAAAAAAACACACACACACACATAAATTATCCCAAAATTAATTTTTTTCCCCTCAGTAAAAGATTCGTACGACGAGCAAATAAATAATTCAAATATTAGCATAAATATTAAATGAATAATTTTTGAGAACTGATGAGAACATAAACAAGTTGTGCATTAACGTTTAATTATTTTTATTATTATTTCTATTAATAATACAAATTTGTTAATTTTAAAATTTATTAATAATATTATTATTATTTTTTTTTATTATATTTTATATTTTAGTTTTTTTTTTTATTATTATATTTATTTTATTTTATATTGTTATTATATTTATTTTATTTTATATTATTATTATATTTATTTTATTTTATTTTATTTTTATTTTATTATTTTTTAATTATTTTATTATTCTCATTTATCACTTTTACTTTACGCTTTACTAACGTTAGTTGAGAATTTTATTATCGTGTGCAACATTGTATGTTTAAATTCACCTCACGTTAGTCGAAACCTGGGCTAATCGGTTGTACCTAGAACCTTGCCACATACCATTTCACACGCGAGACGCGTAAAACAAAGAGAAATTAAGAGAGAGAAAGAAAGATAGACAGAGGAATAGAGTTAGGGGGGAAGTTTTGTACTCGTATATGACCTTGTCATGCATTGTCCCCAAGTACGATTCGCGGTCGGTTGGATTATACAACAACTTATACTATAACATAGTTTTACGTAATTTCTATTGGCCGACTTCAATCGTATTGCACAAACCTCTCGAAGTCGAAGAATCTCCTATAGTAAATCGTATTTAGGCTCGATCAGTCAATAGAATCGATTTTAAACAAGGACATTGAATCCTACGTTTCCAAGGATAATGCGCATCAACGCAGGACGTGCACCAACCCAATCGCCTTATGTCGATATTTCACTAAAGAAATATTTCGAAATAGAAAAAAAGCAAAAACAAACTGTATTACCAATGAATTTTTTAAATACAATATATAGAAATATTATTTTTTATCATGTTATACAAAAAAAAAAAAAACAGACCTTGAAACAATGCGTTGGTTGATGAAATAAATTATTTCGACACGTTTGCAGTATTTTTTAATAAGAAATAAAGTAAAAAGAGAATTCTTTTTTGTTTGTTTGTAATAGAAATGAAATAAATTTGTAAATCTAATTCAAATTAAACAAAATAATATTTAATATCAACAATTCCAATAATATTTATTGATCTGTTGAGCCAACGTACAATAATCTCTCTGACAGTGAATTCAAATGAAAAATCGAAATTCGTGCAAAACGAAAGTTATGGAATATATGAAAGGAACGTTTTCCTTGTAAAGCTTATCGATCGAAAATCGATTCGGGGAGGTTGGTTCTAGCACTTGAAACAACGAATGAACGCTTTGCATTAATCCACTCGACACAACAGTGAGAGCGATTTCGAACGAATTATTTCGCAAGGTTTTCAAAGGAGACACGACGGGGCGAGGTTACTCGTCTCCTATAAATTCGTGGCAGGAGTATTCGTCGTCACTCGTTGTCCACTCGTCGAATCAACAAGTGAATTAAAAATGTTCAAGCTCCTCGTAAGTGAAAGCACCGTTTCTATTCACGAACGAATAATTTATTATTTGAACATAGACTCTATTCTAATTTTTGTTTAAGCATAGAAAATTCTATACATACATTGTTTCTATTACAATTTAACACTATTTCATATCTAACAATAAATAATACTAGTATACTCTTAATATTCTTTTTTAATTTTATTTAAACGATATATTCTATTAAAAAATTGTCTAACAAACTAATAAATTCTAAAGTCTCATTCTATTATAAATTTGAAGCACATTTTATTTGTTAATAAAATTTTCTAAAATTTATAGTTTATCTAACATATATAAAACATTTTGTTACAGAGCATCTTCGCCCTCGTAGCGGTCGCTTGCGTAAATGCAGCGCCAGGTGTATTCTTGCCAGCCCCAGGCGTAGCTGCTGTTCCAGCTCCAATTGTCACTGCCAGAAGTAGCCAAGCTTTTGCAAGAAATTACAATAGGTTGGCTGCCGCACCATTGGCTTACACCTTACCAGCAGTTGCTGCACCAGTTGCTGCACCAGTTGCTGCACCAGTTGCTGCACCAGTTGCTTACACCGCACCAGCAGTTGCTGCTTACCCTGCAGCACACTTGACATACGCCCCATCATTCCCGACAGTAGCACGACTTGCATACGTCTAAAATGATTTTACCCGATGCACTCGTTGTTATCAAATATGTCTACAAATCAACCAATCAACCTGTTATCTCGACTCGATTATGTGTTCTCGATTGATCTTGTATTAGAAAAATATACTTAAGTTTTTGTCAAACCTACATTTATTTTGTCACACTTTATTACTTTAATGTCACATCCCCTTTTAGTTGATCAGTCAATTAATAATAGACTGTAAAGGAAACTGTTTTTTTTTTCTTTCCTATAAAAATTACGATTTACATCGATGAAACGTCTACGTCTATAAGTTGACGAAGCAATTATTGGATATAAATATAACAGCTTGGTAGCTCTCTTTTATCTTCTTTCAGTAACATTAACTTATCGATATTTAAAGCTATCTTTTTCTACCTCTATCTTTTTTTTCTCTCTCTCTCTCTCTTTCTCTCATTAATGCAACTAATTAACAATCGAGCTGAAACGTGTTCCAAAGGATCTGCGAGAAAAAAAGAATGACACGAGTAATATAGCTCTATATCGATTCAAGGATATGAAAAATTTTTAATTATTGCAGCACTAGGTGAAAAAGAACAAAGAAGAGAAATGGAAAATGGCGTTGGATGAGAAACGAACTATAAAAAACAACCAACAATTCTGTTGGAATATTTCTACCTATTTCGTCGTAACTGTGTATAGTTTTATTATATTTTTAATTTAATATGAAACTCTGTATTGAATATAAAAAAACACTTGAGAAACAATTAAAACGTTATATAAATATTTGCAATCATTGTATTTTATTCGTATTCTACCCTTGTTTAATTAAAAATTATCGTTTTATAATAATTTAATTCTAATTTGTTTGATATAAATATTACGTATATATAAACGTGTGTGTGTGTGTGTGTGTATATAACGTAGGGAAACATATGTGATGGTATTAACCAACAAAATGCACCGGTAATATCGACGAGTTCAACAAAAGTTATATTTGAATTTACAAATTACATAAAGTTTATGCAATTGTTTCTTTTTTTGTTTTGTAACTTTCTACTATGACGTTGTATTCATTACATTATTTTACACAATACCATAATCATTCTATATTCGTTTCAAAGTGCTATCGAAAATCGAATAAACAATAAATTTACAGACAAATTGTAAAAGATACGATGAAATTAGGAAATTTATATTAAACACGTAATACACACACTTGATTTGATTACTTGCATTTAACGTAAATTCCATTTTGCTATCTTTCTTTTTACGTCCTTTTAATTAAATTGTCAATTAAATTGTTTAAATGCACCACCTGTAAATGAATACCTGTATAATACAGGTAAATGAATTATCTGTAAATGTAATCATAATAGATTGTTTAATAAAAAATATGCAATAATTAATAGAAATCGTTGAACGAATAATAGTGACGTGGCTTATCACTAAAACCTTAACATTCTAGGTCGGTACATCATTTACGTAATCTATCGAGAGCTAATTGTAAGGTTGGTCACGTAGTAGAAAGAAAGTATTGAATGGTCGTTGGGATTGGTATAAAAACGATACCAGTTCGGACATTGGCATTGTGCGGTACTTCTTCGAACCGAGCAACATGAACTCTTTCGTTACGGTGAGTTCTAATCGGATAACAACCATTGTTTGTTTAATTCAAATTTCACAAATAACATCTGCTAACTTAAAATGGCATTTATTTTCAGGTAACAATTGCGACTGTGCTCGCAGTAGTGCAGGTTGCCCTGGCTGGAGTAGTTCCTGCTGCTGCAGTTGCTGCAGCACCAGCAGCAGTTGCCGCTGCACCATTAGTTGCTGCTGCACCTGCAGCTATCGGTTATGCTAAAGCTGTGCCATACAATATTCCACCATACGCATCCAGAGTTGACATTAACACCAGAAACATTGCTGCCCCATTGGTCGCATCTGCACCCCTTGTAGCTGCAGCACCAGCAGCACCAGTTGTAGCCGCTGCAGCACCGGCAGCACCAGTTTTAGCCGCTGCACCAGCTGCACCAGTTTTAGCCGCAGCACCAGCTGCACAGATTGTTGCTGCACCTGGTTTATACCACCCAACCTATGCCGGAAGTTTGACTGCACCCTTAGCTCAATTCGCTGCTGCTTATGGACCAACGTTTTTCGGTTAAACGATGACATTTGAAACTATTGGATGACTGTTGTTTGATATTTGTTAATGTCCCTCTCAGCAATAAACATTTCTTACCAATCTTAAACAAAAAAATCTTCTTTTCATGTGTTCTTTGTTTTATTTTGTAAGGAAAAATATTTGATAAATAATCTTCCTTCAAACCTTTTCCATTGTTGCAAATGAAACAAATGATTTTATCCAAGGTGATAATACCCCCGTCAGGCAACTTATTTTTCACCAAGCCAAATTTTTTTATCAACGTGAATGAATTCTCCCCTATGAAATTTTACACTTTCTAAGAAATACATGCGTTCTCTTCACATGAAAGAATTTTGCTCGAGATATTCTCGATTTACCCTTTTGCGGAAAACAGGCTTTTATGCGGATAACGAAACATTACTTTATATATATATTTTTTTTTTTTTATTACTGCAAGTACTTTCATCTCTTTTTCTCTTGTTGTGGATGTATCCTGAAAGTAGTCGGAAGAGAGAAGAAAAGAAAGAAAAAAGCAAATCCTGTGAAAGAAATCCGGGCAACGATCGACAACTCGATCTGGTTCAACCTTGCACAGGAAACCTTGAAGATTATATCCTGCTTTTGAAATACGACTACGACGAGTAGAAAGAACATAAAGTCTCTAAGAATCATTATCCTATTTGCATAAAATTATTATAAAAAATGAAAAGGAACGAAATAAATAAATAAATTATTTGTTTCATTTGTTAGATTATAAAAAATATCAACGTTAATGTTTCTTAAAATTACAACATTGAAATATTATAACAATAATGTTATTAAACATACTCTCTGGTTTATTGTTAAGAAAAACAATCATTAATCTAAAACAGTGATATTCAAACTTTGTTCTTAGAAACTCTGAAATTCAACGAATTATTTTCTTTAGATATATTATATTACATTTAATATCATTTATCATATATGCTTGATTAATTTTATTTTAGAAATAACGTAGAAAATGAACAAATGAAAAATTAATATTTCTTTTCTTTTTATCAAAGAGGAAAGGTTACGTAAAATGTTTTTACGCTCTCATTACGGGTTCTGTGAATTGAAAAAAAATTTCAGAAGATTATTGGCCTAGAATAAATAATAAATCGATCCTACGATTTCCTACGCACACTCGTATTATTAGAACTTTTGTTCGAAATCAAGACAAATAAATGTTACGATAGTAATTAAGATGGGAAAGGGAAATTCAATAAAAAAAAATTAAGTCTAATGATCAAAAAGATTTTGATTCAAACGATAATAGAAATATTAGAAATAATCGTCGAATAAAATGAATAACAAATTTATGAAAAAAGTTAATTCGAATATACATATATATATATATATATATGTATATTCATATATGTACAATATACGACGTTCGATTAAACGCAATAATTCGTTCGGCCGAATAAAATTCGAGACACGTTCAAAGGTTGGACGATGGCCGTTCCTTCTTCACCCACCGATGTCTCAATCAAGGATAAGAAATTGTACGAAATACATAGTCAAAGTATTTAGGACGGGTTTCTAAGCGATTAATTTTCCCAAGAGGTGATCGTTGCAACAGATCATTAGAATTACGTCGTCAAAACCTAGACGTAACCTTCCAACTACGAATAGAATGCACGATGTAAGAGTTATAGCAATGGGATACTATTAATAATTATTTTAAATACGTAAACGACGATTCGTCATTAATTATGTCATTAATTATTTGACTAAAAATATAATATAATATATTATATAAAATACATTATGTTAAACATCAATCACGAATCATAATCTAATTTTAGATTTAAAAAAGAAAGATTGCAATATAATAAGATCGAGAGAACAAAAATCTTGTTCTTCTTGTTTCTTTTTTTTTTTCTTTTTCTTTTTCAATGTCCAATCTGCCGGAAGTTGGTTTGATAAACTTACGATTTGCAAATCAACCGGGCGCACCTATGAAACAAAACGGAATATTAACGTTTCGTTTAGCGTCTCGAATCACGATCGAATTTCTCGTTAAATCGTTCGATGGACTTCCAAAAAAAGAATTTCTTTAAGACGAACCACGCGCACCAGTGATATAGAACGGGTGGCATCGAACGGGCGTGGCCAAGTTTACTCAGAGGTCATCTAGTATGCAAGACTGTAATCCTTCTGGTATTGTGAGAGATACGAAAGAGAATAGGGTGGGAGTTTTCTCTCTCTCTCTTGGTGGAAAGCGAAAACCACCTATATAAGACAACGGAGCTCATCGTTTGGCATCACAGTTTTGTCAGCTTAAAGTCAAAGCTAAACAAACCAATCTCTCAAAATGATGACCAAGATCTTCGTAAGTTTATAATTTAATCTATTTAAAATTACTTTTAAATTGTTCTATCGATTTAATAATAATAATAATAATAATAATAATAATAATACCATGACATTTGTACGCAATGTTATTTTGAAACAATTGTTTAAAATAATACAAATTTTAATATCAGATTAGAATTAAATTCCACAACCCTCTTCTAACGATCGATCGATCTGTGTTTCTCTCGTAGGTTTTCATCGGCGCCCTTGTGGCTGTTTGCTCGGCCGGTATCGTACCAGGTGTACCAGCAGCAGCACTCACGGTTGGTACTTACGCATCAAGTTACAACGCTCACGCCATCAATCATGCCATAGCTGCACCTTACGTCGCTGCTACACACGCGGTAGCCCCTGCTGTAGCACCTGCGATCACACCTTTTGCCTATTCGGCCCTACCAGCAGCCTACGCTTACCCTGCTGCACACATAATCGCTGGAAGACGTTGAAATTTGATTAGGACAATTGGATTTTTATGATGATATATTCTCGACTACTTATCAAAACCAATAATAGAAACAGACCAAACAGGATTTCAACAATTAAACAATTCTTATAACATTTTTGTTTGAATTTTGTAACATTGAAATTTGGTGACAATCGGATTTTGCAAATCCGTGCATCAACCGTGGATAAGTAGATCCAAACTTGCCCACGACGATGCGATCGGTTAAAAACCGGTTCTGATCTCGACTATACAACACCATGATGCGAACGATGTCTTGGTCTCTTCACCATTCTACACCATACCACTTAACTGTGTTACGTTTTTACTCAGTCGATCAATAAATCTTTCATTCCTGCAAATCTATTATGACATATTTCTTTAAACATCCTAATCCTTTTAGCATCCTAAAACAGATATACTTATCTCGTAACATTAGCAAAAAAATTAGATATACGTTTCAAGGAAACATCAATTAAGATAGGAACGCTGTTTTCGAATGAAGATAGTAATTAAAGAACACTTTGTTAGACCATTAAAGGGTAAAAGCATTTTCCGTAAAATACGTTTAAGGAAATTCTTAAAAGAATTAAACAATTTATGTATCTATTATGGTGTAAGTATCTTACACCATAAGAAATCATTGAAAGTGTACTTTCTATTTCGCGTTTAACATTTTCTTTCAAATTCAGTTTCCAAATCCGGTGAAACATAGAACGAACGTTTACATAAATGTCATAACAACAACGTGCTTCAAGAGTCTTACACAATTTTGACATATGTAAAAATATATCTACGCTTCTTTCTTTTATTATTGCTTAAAGTTATTCACAAAAGAACTCGTTGTACTTGTATAGTACACGTAGTTTTTTTTTTTTTCTAACGATTAACGTAAGTTCGAGAAAAGATATAACAGGTACCAAAGGACACGCCTGTAAAGACAGACCATAGGAGCCAGTTCTTCTCACGTATGCAAGTCATGCGAGACAGTTTTCGCATCGAGTATCACGACGAGCAACTCTCAACGTCGTTAACCTCATTTCTTATAGAAAAGTCGACGCATAACAAAAGACTCTTCTCTCTCTCTCTCTCTCTCTCTCTCTCTCTTTTTGTATCTTCGCAAAAGAAGTTTCAATATTAATTATGCAATTGATTGAGTTTCATAGATAGTTTAAGACAAGAAATTCAAATTGTATATTGTAAATTTATTATTAACCGATTGAAAATTGTTCTAAATCGAAATATAAATAATTAGGACAATATTTCATTCATAGATTTATCCTACGAAAAAAAAAAAAATAATAATAATAAAAATAAGAAAAAAAAATTAAATTGAAATTTAACGGTGATTATTTTGAAAGAAAATTAATTCTCCTCATTGGCAGGAGTTATAATAACCGTTAATAATTTGTAATATAATCATCGATATCGACAAGGTACTAACACAAGGTGTACCTTATCCGCAATTATGTAATACGAGTATAGCAATTAAAAAATGCGTGAGTCACACAAATTCAGTAACAGTTTCTGTAACGCGGTTATTATTGATCTAACGATAGATAACTATAAAGAATTTCTCTCAATCATCTCATGAATTAGATTCTGTTTTACTCCTTCAATGAAAATAAATCTGTTTTGATAAAAGTGAAAGGTTCAACCCGTGATATCAAAGTCCCATTTATCAACCGGAAATTGTGAGAAAAGGATTCTTAAAATAGAAATATGAAAATGTTATAAATATAAATAGGTTATTAAATATAGCTATGAATTTATACATAAGGACTATAAATAAGTAAATACATCTATACATAGCAATAAAAAATTAAAACGAACCAATGTCAGATAATTAAAACTTCTATGACGATACCAAAAAATAATAAACTTAATCAAAGGTTAACGTAAAAGTTCCAAAAGTTATGTAACGATCTAACAATTTATCCAAAAGTTGTAATAATATCGATTAAATAATCCTAATGAAACATAATAAATAAATAAATACATTTATATGTAATTGTAAAAAAAAAAAAAAAAAAAATTCAATGCTAAAACTAATGCGAAACAATTCAAGGTAATTAAAAGTTTAGGTTCCCAATGATGATACCAAAAAGTTATTAATCTGTATTAAAGGGATCAACAAAGTTCAACCATTTACGTAACGACTTAACAGTTTATCCAAGAGTTGAAGTATCGACATATCGATTAGAAGAGAGTCATAATGAAAAAACAATCGATCCAATTTGCTATCTGCCGTCAAGGTTTCGAAAATGCTCTTCTATCAAAACAAATGAGATCGTAAACTATTGCAGTCACGTATCCAATAGGATATTCGAGATGAAAAAGCTGTGTATATATATATATGTGTGCATGAACACGAAACTTTATATACACATCTATCTAGATAATACATCATCATTTATTTTTTTCTCTTTTTTTCGTAACTCTACGTTAACTCCTTGTACATTTAACTCTCGTTCAAAGTCCTCCCCCTTTTTTTTTTTTTTTCAAAAGAGTTACCTTCGTTCTGAAACGAATGAGATGAAAACAACAAAACAAAAAACTAAAAAGAAAAATTTCACACGATACAAGAAACAAGAACTTGTCCTTCTGTCTTTGTCCAGTTCTCTCGTTGCCGTATTACTTATACTATAATATATGTGTGTGTGTGTGTATGTGAATGTACGTTCATACGAGCAATCGACTACCAAATTGCTTGTCACAAAAATCCTCGTGATTGAAGTTCACTCTCGCCATTAAATAAGATTTATATGAAAAATGAAAGCTATAATAAAGAAACCCTCCTCACCCTGTCCTTCCTACCCCACCCAAAAAAAACAGAAAAGAAAAGAAAAGAAAACAGAATTCTCTCTCTTCTTTTTCTTTTTTTCTTTTTTTTTCTTGTTTTTTCTTTTTTCTTCCTTCTCTTATTTCTTTCTCTCTTATATATTATTTATATATGTGTGCGTGAGAGTAACTTATTTTAATTACGATCGGTATACGTAGCCGAGCGAGATCTACTTTCTCATATCACGTGGCCTTCTTTGCCACCTCGTTCCTCTCCATCGATATGACGCGCGCAACGAATCCAAGGAGACGAAAATAAACAAACAACTCGTAACGTCCATCTATTCAACATTACCGAGATTTTTTTCTCTTACTCTCTCTCCTCATTTTCTATTCAACTATTAAGAAGATTTCTTCTTCTGTAACATTTCCGATCGATTAGGACCCATCCATCTTATTGTTTCGCGATTATCTGTTGCGTTAAAGTAATCATTGACTTTTGTTTAATTATAAAAGGTTATCGCGTGAAAAAGAAAAATGCGTGAAATAGCTCATCTTCAGGCTGGCCAATGTGGCAATCAAATTGGCGCTAAGGTAAATTAAATAATAATTCATCAATAATAATAATAATAATACACGTTTAACGATTATTACATTTGAATAAAATAGTTTTGGGAGGTAATATCCGACGAGCATGGAATTGATCCTACGGGAACTTATCACGGTGATTCGGATTTGCAATTGGAACGTATAAACGTTTATTATAACGAAGCAACCGGTGGAAAATACGTTCCAAGAGCAATATTGGTCGATCTGGAACCTGGTACTATGGATGCCGTACGATCAGGCCCATTTGGTCAAATATTTCGACCGGACAATTTCGTTTTCGGTCAAAGCGGTGCTGGAAACAATTGGGCGAAAGGTCATTACACGGAAGGTGCCGAACTGGTTGATTCCGTCCTCGATGTTGTTCGCAAAGAAGCTGAAAGTTGCGATTGTCTTCAGGGATTTCAATTAACTCATTCGCTTGGTGGTGGAACTGGTGCTGGTATGGGCACATTACTTATTTCCAAAATTCGAGAAGAATATCCTGATAGGATTATGATGACTTTTAGCGTGGTACCATCACCTAAGGTATTGAATCATCTTCAATAATTATATTTCTTAATAGTTTATGTTGATTTCATTAAATTGGGCCTAATAAAATTCGCGTGCTGTTTCATTTTTTTTTTTTTAAGCAAATATCACGATGTGTATTTTTCAAAAACAACATTTATATATTATAAGTATATTACAATTTGAAATTGAATATCATGAACTTTCTAAACAATTTAATAATACATTTTATAATATTGTATTATACATGCATAACAGGACGAATGTAATCATTGTGAATATATTATTAACTCGTTCGTTTAGAATATACGTAAGAGTCTACTTCGTTTAAACGTGACCCGTGTATTAAATGTTGTTGCATCAAACACTTACACTCTTTCCCTTTCTTTCTCTTTCTTCTTTTTTTTTTATTTACAGGTATCGGACACAGTCGTCGAACCATACAACTGCACTCTTTCTGTACATCAACTTGTCGAGAATACGGATGAATCCTATTGTATAGACAACGAAGCCCTTTACGATATTTGCTTCAGAACACTTAAATTAAGCACCCCCACTTATGGAGATTTAAATCATTTGGTTAGTGCAACATTAAGTGGTGTTACAACCTGCTTAAGGTTTCCCGGACAATTAAATGCCGATTTGAGAAAACTAGCAGTCAACATGGTACCTTTCCCACGATTACACTTCTTCATTCCCGGTTTCGCTCCTTTAACTTCAAGGTTAAATCTCAAGAGATACTTATTATTTATTCGATAAAAAAAGATTTAACGATTATATCTTGTCATAATTTAAGAATTTTATTTGCAGAGGATCGCAACAGTACAGAGCATTAACTGTCCCAGAATTAACCCAACAAATGTTCGATGCTAAAAACATGATGGCCGCCTGTGACCCTCGACACGGTCGTTATCTCACCGTTGCTGCTGTTTTCCGTGGAAGAATGTCGATGAAAGAGGTTGACGAACAAATGTTAAATATACAAAATAAAAATAGCAGTTATTTCGTCGAATGGATACCTAGCAACGTTAAAACCGCAGTTTGCGATATTCCACCTCGTGGTTTGAAAATGTCAGCTACTTTTATTGGAAATTCTACGGCTATTCAGGTTACTTTATATTATTCTCCTAATCTAGTAGCAACATTCTCTAATTTATATTAATTATAGAAAAGGTTTCATTTTATTTGTATTCAATCATGTTTTATTCTTTTGTTTTACAAATTTTAGGAACTCTTCAAAAGAGTTTCTGAACAATTCACGGCCATGTTCAGGCGCAAAGCCTTTCTTCATTGGTACACTGGCGAAGGTATGGACGAAATGGAATTCACGGAAGCCGAAAGTAACATGAACGATTTGGTATCGGAATATCAACAATATCAAGAAGCTACAGCAGAAGAGGATGGTGAATTTGACGAGGAGGAGGAGGGTGAAGGGGCGGATAATTAATTTGTTTTATTAGATTTTCCTTCTTCCATAATTATCGGTTGTTTTAATCGCACATGTATCATACTCTAAATAAGAAAGAAAAACAAAAACTGTGTTCGTACGAGTATTAAAGTGTCCTGTCGTTTGTCAATTATTTTGTTATAGAATGCAACGCGAACAAACTTGTACAGAATAAATGACTTCGTTACAATAGACGACTTTGTTTTTTGTAAATGATCATAAAAGAACTTTGTGATGATGCATACTCTCTCTTCCTTTCCTTTTCTTTTCCCACAATGATCGATAAAAGAAAAAAAAAAGAATACTTTTATCGTTCTCATATACGTCCTCGATAGAGGCATCGTTTACATTGAGAAAACGAGATATAAAATAAATTATTATTATTTAATAATAACATTCACGGTTGGAATTACTGAGAATACTTGATTACCGATGCGTACGTTTCATTGTTATTATACAAAATCGCACGAGGAATATCGTAAATGTTAATAAGTGGGTGTGGTCGAGTTACGCCATTAATTACCAAGAAATATATGAATAGATACAATGTCCTTACTATGAAAATTTCTCATTTTCCCCTCTCGCGTTTCTTTTGCCAACGTCATTTAAAACGCGATTGACCATCAAACGATAAGATCGAACAATTATATTTTATCTAAGAAATTATCAATTTTTTTTTATTTACATCGACCTTTATAAATGAATACAAAAAATACGATCTGAAAAAAACCAATTGTCACGATCAAATAACATTAACCCCTTTTTAAGTCACTAAATGGTAATTAAAATTGAACGGAAATAACAAAATAAAAAGAACAAAACAAAATCTAACGCACAACCTTTGAGAAATGATGAGGACACGACAAAATTTCTCACTGATCGAGAAGATCCTGCTCGATTCTCCGTCAAAGATCAAGAACAAACGTATATTCATTCGCGTTCGATCGAAGATCAATCTCTTAACTCGAGGCGCAAACGTAGATGCATGATTATTCTACATCCGATAAGTCAAGTAAGATCTATCTTACACTCTCTTTCTCTCCCTCTCTTTCTATTTCTTTCGATAGAGTCCTCCTCTTCACGCTCGAAGGAACATAGACAAGATCATAGACGCGTAGATAATTACTGAAAGCATTGCAAAGAAGTGGGGAAATATCATAGTGGGACAGATGTTTTTCTTTGAGAACACGCATATACACACACACATATAAATAGTTGCGGTGAAACATAGAAACAGACGTATTTTCTATCTCTGTCTATGTTTTCTAGCCATAACATCGAGCTGTCAAGGCTTCAACTAACTGTAAGAAGTTCTCTTCTCACGAGGGGATTCATGTTTATCCCTCTAACGTTACACCGGTAGTCCACATAGCGATAATTATTTCGTCCTTCGTCAAAACCACCTCCACATTCCGTAGGTCATCGAGAAATCTACGGATCTTAGAGAGACCTCGGTCGAATCTAGGTGAACGTGTGTGTGTGTATATGTATATATATATTTACAAGTATACCAAAGAAGAACTATAGGTCTTTATCTATCATGTGAGCTATAACTACCCCGCCCCACACACACTTCACATATCTTGCAATATGTACCATATACGTGTATGTATGCAATTTACAAATTCGTTGTTGCACTCCAACTACTAGTCGCACGCACAGGGAAATGCCTTTTTTCTTTTTTTTTTTCCATATTTCCACTATTCCCCCATGTTTAATGCCTAGACGAACACCAACACCAATGAGACGAAGGAAGAAAGAGAATGCTTTGCTGGGGGTATATAAGTGATACACTAGGAACGTTCTTTAGTTGGTCTACGATACCTACTGACAACAACATTTCATATTAAACACAACACAATAACAACATGTTCAAATTGGTGAGTAAGTTTATATTATAGTCAATATAAAAAAAAAAAAATAAAAATTATATTATATTATTTTTTCGAAAAAATGTCTTTTTTTATTTTCTCTACAATATTTTTCATATTAATGTTAAAATATTTGCATTGTGACGCCTACGCTTAACGAGTGGGTGGATTAATGAATATCAGAGTCACGTTGTTCCTGCAGATTTGTCTTAACTTTCGAGAAAGTAAATAACACATATACATATATATACGAAAACGTGACCCTCTATCGTATTTAATGATAAAACAATCTCATTAATCGTATGCAAAACGTTTGTGTTTTAAATTGCTCGAAGAATGACGTGAGTAATTCGTAACATTTAAAGTGAACTTTTCATATAGCTAGCGGGCACGATAGCGCATTTATTGAATTAATAAAAATGTTTAATAACGTGACGTAATGTTAAACTGAATGAATTGAAAAAGATTTCAATTAAAATCTTGTATGACAAGAAATAATAAAATCTTGTATTTGAAGAAGAATATAATAATATTGAAACACACACTCACACACATACACAACACATCTGTTTTCAGCTCATTCTCTCAGCACTCGTGGCTTATGCCTCTGCTGGATTGTACACGGGATACAATGGATATGGTGGCTACGGTTATGGTGGATACGGTTATGGCGGATACGGTTTAGGTCATGGGGTTGCAATTGCACCGTCTTATTCATCGGGACTCGCTTACCATGCACCTGTAGCGACTAGCTATGCAAACACATATAAGGTAAGCAAAAAATAACATTTCTTTTTTTAAAAATATATACATACAGAAATTTTACACGAGAGAGTAAAGTATAATTTTCAAGAAGTGAAAGAAAGATATCAAGACATACAACAACAACACAAATTATTTATTTCTCTTATTTTCTTCAGGTCGCTTTGGCTCCTGCGGTGACCAAAGTTGCGGTTGCGGCCCCTGCGGTAACCAAAGTTGCTTATGCCGCACCCACAATAACTTATGCGGCCCCAGCCGTTGCTCCAGCTATCAGTTATAGCAGCGGATACAGTATCCCACCTTCGGTCACTACTTATGGCCATTCTCTTGGATATGGTCTGGGATACGGATATGGACTCGGACACGGATACGGATACGGATACGGCCACGGTGGTTATTATCATTGAAACTTAAACCCAAATGCATCGATGATCTGTCCCGATCGGTTCTTTCCATTAACGAAAAAGATATCTATATTTATATAGATATATATACATATAAAAGGATTGTACATAATACGTACGACGACTGAACTCTACCTACCATCAAGCACTGCCACAATTACCACCAAACCCAATCCCCTACCCTCAAAAAAAAAAGAACTATGTAAAATATTTAATAATATATTATGCATGTAATTAATTTCCCGTTAACTCTCTATTCGCATTACTTCTGTTATTTTTCTTTTACCTACTATGTTTTTTTTAATTAATAAGAAAATCAAAGAGTAAAAATCATCGTAGTTTTTCAAATATCATTGGAAATCACGGTAGTGGGGGCTTATATCTTAAGATCGGTATTCCATTTTACAATACATGTCAAAAGTTACAAGCTGTGCTGCGACGAGTTTCAAAAAAAAAAAAAAAAAAAAAAAATAAGGAAAAAAGAAAACAAAGGGGGAGATGAAATAGACGACAACGAGAGAAGCGAAATTCGAAAGTCGGTCAAGGATGTAGGGAAGAGTTTGTTCCTTCGATTACATTTTACGCCATGATCGATCTTTTTTCTTTCTTATTTTTCTTCTTCATATTATGGTATCAAGATTATTCATTACTTTTAAATGTCGATTTACGTGATATACGTACGCACAATTTTATATATACGATCAAACGCGTGTCATAATAATTCCAATGATTACAAATTCAAATCGAATTTTCTTTAAAACGTAGAAAATATTTTTAAAAACATTTCTCCTTTTTCGTGTGTATTTTTAGTTTTTATTTTTATTTATGAAATTACAAACCTATTGTTAGTTATTATTTTTTTAAATTACAATCAACGTTATGTACACACCATTAAGTCTTTTATCGTATGTTTCTCAACTCAACTCATCCACATATTTCAAAGAGTTCGTTAAAATATTAAAGGTTAATTAAAATGAAATTTCGGTACTGATAAGTAATGAATAAATTAACGAATTAAACCACAATCATCACATCATCATTATTATTACCAATTATTATTGATAATGATTATTGATATAGATGATTACTGATAACCGATCGAGCCTAAAAAAATTGTCGAATCCTAACGACACAACAGAGTTATTATACTCTTCTCTGATTTCACAACAAAGTTTCATTTCTGCCGAGTAAATGGAACGAGAGTCAAATAATAGCGTGTTATTCGACCGAAAGCAAACAACTTTAAAAGATTGATAGTTGACATCCGATCGAGATAAATCAATTTCTTCACCATTGATCGTTGTTGTTAGCGTTTGTTAACCTTTTCGATTATCGGTAGGATCATTCGAGTATGATGAAAATCATTTATGTGAGATCAGAAATTTGATATTTTATTATTGTTCCTTGCAAGAACGATCTATCAAGTATTTTTATTCGACAAACAAAAATATTTTAGATGATGTATGAACATTTTGTAAAACGTGATGATAGAAGATGAGTTGTAGTGGAGATAACAGTATAATAATTACGTATTACTGATGAAATTGGTTATTTAACTTGAACAATTATTAGTAATTTTAATAAATACTCTTATAGACTAATTATTGAAATCAATTATCTCGTTCCTTCATATATAGAGAGGTACGATCGAAATAAGAAGAAATTTCATGAAGCCAAAAAAGAAAGTTAAATATTAATACCATGATTAAAACGAGATTCGTATTTATTCGCTATAGTACGAGGTAGACTTTATTCGAGCAAGATCGACTCCACCCAGATCTCCTTATTCGATAAATCGAAGGGCAAAATTTTCTTATTAAGTATTGGTAATAATCAAGGTCTTGAGTGAACAAAGGTTGTCCCTTATGGAGAGATACGAGAGAGAACGTATGTTAATGCAGAAGACGTCCTTATACCTTTAAACGAAGTAAAATACTTTTAATGTTTAACTTTATTCGAACACGCAAGGCCTATAAAAGGAATATTGTTCCAATTAATAGATAAATTCGACATTTTAAATGATATGTTAGTATTAATTATGTTTAACATCCTTATTAAAAGTAACAGGTATCTGTATCGTGTATATCATTAATTTTGTCAACGATCAAAGTATAGTAAGAAAAATAAAATAAAAAACCAAATCTTTAAAATATATAAACCAATATGCCAAATGTAAAACTAATAAAAATAAGAAAAGGAAAAGGGGTAAAACATATATGAAAAAAATAAAAAGCCAAGATAACAATGTGAAATGCGTTTGATAACATTAATTATATATTTGTCATAGTCGTAAGGTATTTTCAACAACGTTATACAAGATCAAAATTCGTGATTCGTAATTTGAAAGAAAAAATGAAACCAAAAATAGTCGATCGTAGTTCATGTTCTTCTTTTAAACGTCGTTCCAATCCATTTCAATTCGTTCATCATCCTTCGTGAATCAGCTGTATCACGGTGATCTAGTGAACGAGGCTGATGGCTGGTGCGGCGTAAGTCAGATGAGAAGAGTGAGAGGTGTATGCAACTGGGGCTGCATGTGCGGCATATGCAACTGGGGCTGCATGCGCGGTATAAGCAACCGGGGCTGCGTGAGCGGCGTAGGTGAAAGTTGGTGCATGTGCAGCATAGGTGAGGCTAGCTGGATGAGCCGAATAAGCAACGGCTGCTTGTGGAGCAGCAACGTAAGCTGCGTATCCTGGTGCTGGTTCTGGTGCTGGTGCTGGTGCTGGTGCAGCTGCAGCGCAGGCTACGAGAACGGCAAATACTACGAACTTGTACATGGTTGATAGTTTCTTCGAAAAATTTCGAACTTCTCGACTTTACTACTAGTTAAAGAAGACTTGTAACTCTGTGGTGTCGATCGACTGACTGATGCCATTCCCAAAAGATTTACTCTTTTTATATACCTTATCCACGCCCCTAAAATCGAACGAAAGAAAGAACAAAAAAAACTGGTTCTTCGATGAAGAACCCGCCCGGCGGTTGGCACAGACTACCGGGCCAAGGACTTCCGGATTATAATTTCGTCGATTAGGAGATTAAGATCTTATAGCAAGACAGAAAAAGAGAAAGAGAAAGAGAAAGAGAAAAAAAGAGATATATGGATGTGGAGAAAACGAGCGTGTACGATATGTACGGTTGCGAAAATGTGTAACATTTTAAATCTGAGAGAAGGGGCTGCCTCCGACAATAAGTACACGAGAGAGTCTCTCCGACCGTGACCGTTTCTTCTTCTTCTTCTTCTTTTTCTTCTTCTTCTTCTTCTTTTCCTTTACATTTCGTGATTCGTCTCGTTTTTTTTTTTTTTTTTTATATTTTTCAACGATACTCGATTACCACCACGCGCACGCGTTCCCATTTTTCACGTGGTACTCGTACAACTTCTCGCCCGAAATTATATCACTTTTCGAACGTATAAATATTCCTACGTATTTTCTTGGTCATGCCATTTAACGAGATAATTATAATACGCTCAGAATAACGACCAAAATAGGAAGAGGAGGAGGAGGAGTTAACCTAAAAAATGAGAAACAAAAAAGAAAAAAGAACGAGACTGTTTTGTATTCGAAAAAAAAAAGAATAAAAAAAAAATTAAAATAAAAATGGAAAGGTTTTCTCCAAAACACGTGGATTACATGGGTTACGTGAAAAATGAAGTAAGTCGAGCGGATCTACTTTCGCGGATTGTGTCACAACGCGAGGTCTCCTGTAATGTGGCCCCCTCCCTCCTTTACCCTCCTAGAGACGACAATGTCTCCGTAAGTAGGCGTTCCAGTAGTCTCAAGTTGCCAAGTTGCTCAATATCGTGTACATAACTACTGATCGGTATAAGCGAATAATAAATACAACAATATGTGGTATGGTTCTTGTTATCTTTCATGTGTTATCCTGTCGCCAAAAATAAATTAACGATTACGACAAAAATCGTGACACTTAATTAACGTCCCTCCAAGGCACTCATCCCACTCCACCTCACCCCTCGTTCGTCTAACTAACCATTGTCCTACGTACATTTACATACAAGCAACGATTCAACACACGAAATATCTCTCCTAATATTTTGTTATTATGCAAATTTTGATATTATAATAATTACGTAACGCTGATCATATTTCAAAAGTACGTTCTACCTGGACTAACGCCTATACGATTATCAGATTGTCAAATATTATTTAAATGATTAATAAATAGGTCTAGAGTTTTCTAATTCATCATGAATATAATTGTCATGATAAATAATTCATTATATTCTTATTGAGTTATACAAGAATTGTAATATATGGGTTTAACAAGCAAGCTAGAATCAAAGTAAAGTGATTTTAATGCCCGAAGGTGCTTAGAAAACATCGACTTTAGGTTTCATGTGACTAGGAAGTAAGAGAAGAACGTGTTTTTCAACTTGTCTAACCATAAGCTAAGATATAGGCGCAGGATAAACCGATAACGATCCCGGATCCGTCGAGGATCGTAAAGGGCCGGTGTTATTGGTCCTTGGCAATGTTTCACGAACGAGGTAGTTACTTGAGAGAAAAAATCGACAGGTATTGAAAGACCCTGAAGGAGATCGAAAGGAAAGAAAGAAAGAGAAAGAAAGAAAGAGGATAATGTAAGAAAAGGTAAGAAGAAGTCATACAGGAATGGTTGTTAAATGGTAGAGCGAGGTAGCAACAGGACTCGCAGTAAAGCCATTCGGGAGTTTTGGTGGGAGAGGTCAGTCTTTCCGAATAAAAGGGCGACTACTCTGGTAGTCAGACATCACTCGTTCTCAAGCAACGTTTGAAGTTTCGATTGTCTCGATTGTAAAAGAAGAAGAATAATAATAATAATAACCATGTACAAGTTCGCTGTACTCGTCGCTTTGATTGGTTGCGTTGCTAGTGCACCAGCACCAGCACCAGGCTACTTGGCATCGCTGCATTCCGCACCTTTGGTCACAGCACCGGCCTCTGCTGTAGTGACAATTCCCCACTCAGTTCCAGTCGCCACCAGCTACTCCAACACCTACAAGGTCTCGGTTAAAAGCCCGCTCATAGTGCCTAGCTCAACCGTAGTAGCAGCCGCCCCAGCAGCAGTCGTCACACATACAGCTCCAATTGTCACCCCCCTCGTTAAAACTACTCCAGTTATCGCACCTGTACCTGCTGTAGTCGCACATCCCGCCTCCATCACCTATGCCACTGGATACATCCATTGAGAGAAAAACGAAAATCTGGAGAGGGGGAGATGAACCATTTCGGCTCCGATTCTCTAGTCAAAAGGACACTTTTGAACCGGCTGTTACTGAAGAGACCATTTTCAACATTTGGACAAGAGAGACATTGGCGAAACTTGAAACAACATCATCATTATCATCATCATCTCACGTTGATATTATTTAACGCGATTGATCAATAAAATTCTTTATCTATCTCCACACAAAAATTATCGTATATTTTTTTGTTATTTGTCTCTCTCCTGCCCCCCTTCTCATCTTTCTTTTTTTAACTTTTTTCTCCCACTCGTCGTTAAATATAATCCTAGAACCAGAATCCCTTTTCTATACTGTTATTGAGTTTGATCATTTCTATAGACACATTTGTCTAAACTCTTACTATCTATTGCTTAAAAGAAATTCATGCGAGTTGCCTTACGTAATTAAAATTGACCAATTCAAATAGAAATACGTATATCGATTTCGTACGACTTGTAACATCGTACTTTTTATTCTTCTGATCACATATAAAACATCTTTGAATGCTATTCAAACATTTGCATTCTAATGTCGTTTGTTAGATCTATCTAAAATATAAAACAAATACTTGCATATAGGCACATAGAATGTGCATGCATATATTCGTTGGATACGATTCACAACATGTAGGATAATAGGCTATTAACTTGCTTTTCTAATGAATGTTCAAAGTAATATTGCGTAATAATATCAATAACTCTCCCGTATTAATACGAGGGCGACTGAGTAAATACATTTGAACGCTTACTCCGACCAAGTACATACGCATTTTCGATAAATTACGTAATAAAAGTTACGTAATTGGATCGATCCGAAATGTATTCATCATTCTAATGAAGATGTGTACTCGAGCGCAAGTCCCATCAACATGTCCACCATGTGTCTTTCTGTAATTTCGTTCAATTCTTGTGTTCATGTTACTTTTAATAAAAAAGAAAAATGATTATAAAAAAAAGAAGAAAAACAATTATTACATTAATAATAAAATGTGTTCATATCTATCAGCAATATCAATGGATATCACATAAGGTAGTACCCCCCTGTGAAGACCGAAATTTCCATGCTTTTTCATAAATTTTTTTGAATAGAAAAACAAAATGCGATCGTTTGGAAATTTTAATATGTTTTTATCAATATCTTAAACTATATTTTAAATAAATTTTTTTAAAAATTTAAAATAATATTTTAAACGTCAAATTGGAGTCCCCTAATTCAATGTGGAGAAGCACAGAGCCTCTGTAGCCGTCTAAAACAAAACAAAAAAACTAAAAATACTTATTATTCTTTAAGCTTAATTATAGACATGATACCAACAATATGTATATTTTTTTCAAAAAAAAGAAAAAAAAAAAATGACGGACGTGTGAAAAAATTTTTTCAAAATCGGTGCTTTTTTTACCTTTAATTTTTTTAAACCGACACAGGGGGGTACTACCATAATTTATGATACAAATTATAAATTTCTTTCAATTCTTGATCACAAATTATTTTGTAAATTTTTTTTTTTTTTTTTTTTTGAGACAAATGCAAAAATCTGCAGATTTTATTTTTCAACAATTGTTTCTACGAGCTATGAATTATTCTTAAAGATAAACGAAATGTAAAAAAGCGAGTTGTCGAAGATAAAATAAAAAGAAAAAAGAAAAAAATACCGGAATACGCGAGAGCGTAATAATATATAGACAATAAAAGTTACGAACATGAGGTAAATAAGTACAAAATGGCAGACCTCGTAGGGAAACGAAGAACGGCAAGGATGGTTGTTGGTTCTGGTGGAAAAATCAATGATGGTATGCGAGAAGGAATAAAATGTTAAAGAAAGAAAGAGAGAGAGAGAGAGAGAGAGAGAGAGAAAGAAAGAAGTCCGGTTTTACTCTACAACTGAAACGATTCGCTAAAAAATCAACGCGAGTTATACCAACGTGAACACCATAACCAGGATATCCTCTAGTGAACCGATAACGAGGAAACGAAAATCAACATTTTGAAATCTATTTTAATTTTAAATTAACTAATGATATGGAACTAGAAGAAAAAATTATCGAATTATCTGATCGTAATTTCGATAAGACCTTGAGAATATGTTCTCAGATGCGAATGAAGAATATCTTTGATATAATCACGCGAACGCAAACACACACGCATACACACTTATGGTTAATGATCCTGTTACATTTTATAAAATTATTGTTTATTTATAGAAAAACTAATAACGTGTCTGATTTATATGCACACAAAAAATTCCTAATACCATTTCGTATATCTAAATTTTTTAATCTTACGTAAAATCCAATTAACAAACTTGATCGGGGTTTGTCAACTAAAAAATACTCGACTGAACGAACCTATAATATAGAACCAGAATCAGGGTGTAAGTACTGAACAGACCTGTCCCGAAGGTCTTTCGAAGAGCACAGAAGTCTTCTATTATATAAACCATGGAGAATCTCATTCGTGCAGATCAGTCGCAGATTCTCAAAGCGCAACTGGAAAACGAAGAAGCTCCGACATGTTTAAGTTGGTGAATCGATTTCGAAACAATCATTTTCATTTATCAAAATAATAAATAAACAAAATACTTAATAATAAACAAAAAAGGATTTTCAAAATTTTCTATTATCGATTTTCAATATTGTACAACTTTATAATTAAAACGATAAATCTTTTAACAACTTCAAATAAAATCTGTTCTATTTAACAGGTGGTCCTGTCCGGTTTGTTAGCCGTTGCTTTGGAAAACCAAGCGCAGAAGATAAATCTGAAAATGTAGCACAAGACGTAGAAAAGGCTGCAACCATTATCGCTGAAAAAACAATCGAAGCACGTGGACATTCGATCATTCACCATACAGCACCAAGCGTTCCTGTAGCAGTACAAGAAGGATCTCCTAATCTTTCATTAACGCCAATAACAGCAGACGAACTCTTACAATTGCCAGAAAAAGCTGATAAGTTGGATGAACCTTTGGAAAACTTGGAATTCCCCAAAAAAAACAGTAGAGTCTCCCATCCAAGAAAAACAATTATCTGATCCACAAAAAAGTAACGAATCCAAACAGGTCAGCCAATCTTTGAAGAAAACCAAATCTTACAGACAAATCCTCATTGATCTGCCAAAATTTGAAATTCCGATTTGATACAGTTTCCAGTTAATCCTGCTTTAAGAACACTCGTAATACAGAAAACTGACGAACCCACCGACAAATCTGAATCACGTTCTGCACTTCGTACTGTACCATTCATCTACCTACCTTCTTATCTACATCCCTACCTGGAATCTTATTATATCATTAATTAATTATTATAACTACCCAGCCCTCAATATTTGCTGAAAAATCTATCAGCAATTATATTGCAACACAACTTTAGAATTGACATTCTCAAACGATTATTCTTTAATCAAGCATTCTATCTTAGTGAACTAAATGTATTTGGATTTTCATCTTTTGAAGAATCTACCCTAAAACACAACGATGATCTATAAAGCGAACAGAAACATCCACCACATCGATGACTCATCCTTGAAATTTGTCTATTCGCGTTTTGTCAATCAACGGTACCAGAAAATAGTCGACTATAAATTTTATTTGTCATTTTTAATAGCCTTTCATTTTTTTCCTTCTTCTTTTATTTCTTTCTTTCGAACGACAACGCATTCGCATCCCTTGCAACGAGAATCATCTTCGTTTTTCGACAATAAAATCTTTCATTTTGGACAATCCTCAATCACGAGAAATATAATAATAATAATAATAATAATAATAAAAAATTGTTTATTACATTAAGTATTAATTTTTAAGTAAAAATTGTCGATACACATTATCTACGAATAGAAACGAATCAAGCATTGTATGCGTAACTTGTTCTCATGCTTTATACATATGTTGTTCATTGTATTTACAATATATTTATCATTCAACAAGCATTCATTCGTAAGAGAAAAGAAGAAAAAAACCTTTTTAAAAAAAATCCTTTAAAAACAAAAAAAAACTCAACATTTATAATAAAATCCTAACGAAACACGTCAATCCTGTCTGATAAAAAAAAAAAAATATCATCACCGACAAAAAAAAATAAGTGATAAAAAGATTGGTTCGTCAAACGTCAAGGTCATCGAGATTTTTTGACAACGATTGATCTCGTTGAGATACAAATGGCCCCAATGCATCGGTCGAACTAAAAATAAGAAATAATAATAAAAAAAAAAGATAAAAAAAACAACTAAACGTTCGGAGATTTTACTTTGAAAAAAACATTTCAATATTGATCGAATGACTTTCGAAAATTGATATTCCCGAAGCAACGATAATAACTCGAACGAATTTGATTATCGCAAAGTCATTCTCCGATTATCATATTGAATGTTCCTTCTTACTCGATATTTCTCAATATTTTTCTTCCCAATATCATTTGAAAGAATAAGGTTGAAACTGTGTACTCAAAGGTACAGACAATAGTATTCTCAAGGAGTATGGTCAAATCGAAGGATACACACACCAGTTAAATTTGCCAGTCCACGATCGTTACGAGTTACGATGTGCAAACTGGTCACGAGTATAATACGTATTTTTGTTGTCTGACTAGGCACGCCCTTATCCCTTCCAAGTCAACCACGACCCATCCGTGTTGGGTTCGTTTGGAAAAAGAAAATATCGATGAATAAAAAATTGATACAAAACTACTTGTCCTTTTTCATTTTTCACCACCATTGCCAAGTAATAGCAAAATTTTATCATTTTATTTTTCTTATTTTATTATACCTAAGTACTCGTTGTATTAAATTGTTGCATTGATTTTTATAGAAAAATCATTTTGATTTTTTCTTTTTGTTGTTGTTGTTGTTGTTACTGTTTTTTATTTCTTATTTTTATCTCGTTAGAGAAAACCGAGTGGAGAAATTGAATCGACAAAGTATTGGCTGTTTCTTATTCTCGTACCTGTAAACCCTGTCTGACTTATTCCTTGGTTCGATCGCCAGTTGTAAAACCACATAAGGATATCTACGAGTATCCAAGGTCTCGGGTGAATGAACGAGGAGAATTGCCAAGTACTCTTCTCGTTTCTTCTCTTCGTGCAATCTTTTCTACACTCCTTCTCGACCTATCGACTTTTTCTACATCGTTTATTTTCAACAATCCTATCTGTTTCTTTTTTTTTTTTTATTTATTTATCTTTATTTTTTTTTCCATACATATTGTTTTTTTTTTTTTCTACGAACGTAAAACCAATAAAATTACAAGAAACAAATGTACAGAACCAAATACTAAAATAAAGAAAATACTAGAATCATTCTTAGTAGCACAAAATATTGAAAAATATTGAATACATGTGTATTTAATATTAAAAAGTGATTCAATGTATTTTTATTTATTTTATAATATTTAATTTACAATTTTACATGTCTATCCCTTTTCAATGATATTATATAACATTTAATATTTAACTCGATGAATATTTTCTTTTCAATCGATAATATTACCAATAACGAAAAAGGAAAGATATATGCATGTATATCAAATGATGTATAGTTAATATTGAATAATCGATACTCGAGTATATATATATATAGTATCATACATTATGATGCAGATAAAAATCATTTAAATTTGTTGGCCACCATAAGCTTATAAGCAAAATTTTCATTATCGTAAAATAACGTTCATTTTAACTGTCATGTCCGATCTGTAATTAATTTTAATATTTATCTCGAGTATTGCGGTTGACTAATGCATAGAAAAAGAAAAGAAAAGAAAAGAAAAAAAAACGAAAGAAGGATTACGTTTAAAGAACAAGTTGTAACCTGTCTCGCAAGATACAAGCATCTTGAGGAATCGAAAGTGAGTCGAAATACCGGTTTATCTGTAATTTAATCGTAAATTAATTGATCGTTCAACAATATTATGTACCGACCTCTAGCTTGATCTTGACGATCGCTCAAGATCACGGCCCAATGATTGATTTATTTTATTAACCAATAACATTTCTTTTCTTCTTCTGAAAATCATCATCAATTCATTTTTTGCATATAATATTCGCGAGAGTTGTTTGACAAAATATTACATACTATTCTTTGTTTCTTTTTTTTTTTAAATTATTATGGTTCATAAATTATGGACCAGGTCATAAAATAAAGGTGAGTTGGACTGAAAAAATGAACTCTGTTCAACACGATGTACTCGACCTTAACGAAAGAAGATAATCTAACTGAAAGCGATAAGAGAGAAAAGTTATCGTACGTGTACGTAAATAAACCGTGTTTAGAGGAAGATACATAGACAGTGTACCTTGTGTACCTTGGTAGCAGAAAGGAATGCGCCTTGTGCGTAGGGACGCTTCTCTTAGGTACTGGAACGAGTCTACTTTTTTCGCTGGTCCTCAGAACCCCTATAAGTACGAGTGGTCTTCCAGCGTCCTCGCACAGAAATACAGAAGAATCTCATCGTAAGCGGTTCTACAACATTTTCTTCTCCTACACAAATCTGCAAACATGTTCAAATACGTAAGTTGATAATTATTCTATTATTCCACATTATATTGGTTTGTCCGGAAAGTTTGTGCCGATTTTGACGAAAAATTGAAACACAACAAATTTCAGTTTTTTTCATTTGGTATATATTTTTTTTAAATATATATATATAAGTGCCTTTCTGTTCCACAATCTTTTTCCATCTTTAAGGGTAGCTTCAAAATTTCTGCCTTCCAGAACTTCTCAAGTTTTTTTTTAGTAAAACAAACTTTATGCCATTTACCAAAAATCGGCACGAACTTTTCGAACAACCCAATATATATACATTTGTTTGTTTTAATTATTATACGTTACAAATGTATAATTAATTAAATTGTTAATTGTTCAAAATGGTTATTTATATTCATATTTATATATATAATATAATGTAATATATTTGATAATATGTTCACAGTTAATCCTGTTTGCCTTCGTTGGCTTAGCCTGGTCTGCCCCAGCACCTGCACCTAAACCAGAACCAGCACCAGCACCGTCTCCACTTTCAGTGATATCAGAAATCAAAACACCAGCATCCACCGCTAAACTGACACCCCTTATCACACCCATCGCTTCGCCTTTGATTCCTCGTTTTGCTTTTTTACCCCAAGTACGTAACAGATGATTTCGTCTTTGGTATGTGCCGTTAATTATGACTAGGGTTACAGTTTATTTTATAATCAAAATAATTCTAATGTAAAATCAATTTAATTCTTTTTTTTTTTCCAATTTGTCACTCATCCCATGGTCATAATTACCGGTACAAATAGCAATCTCATTAAATTTTCTCATTCTAATAAATTTCATTTATTCAATTATCTTATTATTATCGATTTCTTGTCTCACGTATATTCTATCATTAATTGGATAAATATATACTGTATAAATCCGATAATCTGCATCCTTCGATTATTCACTTTTACATAACTAGGATACGTTAGAATTATAAAATTTATTTGCAACGAAATTGTTTGTAATAAAACATTGTATATTATAAATTTTTGTTAAACGAACGCTTAAATTAATTCATGAAGAAATTATTAATGATTTATCTAATCTTTTATTTTTTTTTTTTTTTTTACAGTTAACACCATACACTTATACTTATGCAGCACCTGTTGAAATAGCCGCTGTACCATCCAGTTATTCGATCGAACAACACGGATACCACATTACCTACTGATAACCATGATCTCGCTTCCTTCATTTTCGGCTCAAGACAACATAAACATTACAGAGAACTATCTTACCTTTCACCGATAAATCATCATGTATCGCGTACTGATAAAATCATTCACGCAAAAAAAAAAATACTAGAAGAAAAAAAAAATGAAAAAAAAAAGAACATTAAAACTCAACATTTTTATTTATTTATTTATCACTCAAATGTAACATATGTTATCCGATTGAAAATTCCTTTAAAAAATTCCCTTGCTACGATGATCGTTGTCCTTAGAAAATATCCTTCATTGTTCACACCACTATTATTATTATTATTATTTTTTTTTTTAAATGTTATAAACGTAGTTTATGAATAATTCAAATGTCCAAAGAAAAAGTCATTTAAATTACGACTAATTACAACAACGAGTATCTCTTTCGGGATAAAGAAACAATATCGTTTACAAAATAAAAAATCATAAGAGAGGAGAGAAGAAAAAATGACAAGTGTCGTCCTTGTTCCCCATTTTCTACATGGACGAATAAATAGGGAATTTGATTCAGAGAAGTAAATAATAAATAAACGAGCGTATCGGTTGATCATCGCGCAGAATGCGATGAAAAGGAAAGTGAAAAAAGATCGGAAACTTTCTCGGAACTTCATCGGAACTCTTAACACGTTCATTGACGTCATTGCACCTTGAATGGGACGGGTTGTTACGTAATATTGACTTAACGTAAAGAAACCCTGCCCAAACAATGTTTTTGATCCGTCAAAAATTTAAAATCGTGTTTTATTCGATCAAACATAAATTATATAAAACATATAAAAGATTAGAAAATGATAAAGTATAGAATAAAAAGAAAATCAAAATGTCCATTGACTTATTACTCGTTGTCGTTATTGTTGTTGTTGTTGTTGTTCATGTTGTTGATTCGATGCACACGTGTATTAATGACGTACGTGAAAAAATAAGTCATGAAGTTGTTACCTTCGTTTTCTTTTATTATACATGCTTCGAAGGCAAAGTCATGATACAAAATTCCCAGATGTAAAATTACGAAACGCAACGAGCTAAAACACGCGACGGAAAATCCCTATTGTGCAAGAGAACGGATCGGGTGCATCGAACGAAACCGACCAACCACCACTCAACACACAAAACCGGTTTTGATCCATTTTTTATATATATATATATATATTTTTTTTTTCTTAATTCTTTCTATTTCTCAATTTTACAAGAAGAAGGAAGAACATGTAACGAAATTTAATGTTTCCTGGTAAAAACGTTAATGAGAAAATATTCTGTAATAATCTAAAAACGAAAATATTTGGTTTCTCATTGAACAATGAAAAAAGTTTGATATAAACATTTGTTTATAATACTACATATACATAATTTAATCGTATAAACGATCTCTTTATTCGAAAACTGTTATTACACCCGGTTAGTTCTGAACCATCCTGGAGACAACACTTTCTCCCGGAACCTGAAAGACAACACACAAAACGAAGGAACTGCGGTTCGGCTCAACGTCTGTTTATTTCGTCAACTTCTTATTATTCATTAAAAAAAAAAAAAAAAAAAAAAAAAAACAAACAAATCTATAATCAAGGGTGTATTTATGCAAAACAAGGAATGTTAGTTTAAAATTTATAAATGATTTGAATAAATAAACAATATATATTAATTTTATACTAATTGTGTTGAAATATTTTACATAAAAAAGTGTGAAGATGAAAATTCAACTATGCAAGTTCAAAAGTTGCAATTCAAAGATGACGATTGAAAATTTTGCCATTTATTTTGATAAATGATCAAATTAACTTTTTTTTTTGTTCAAATTTCTAACTAAATTTACTTTCACAAATTCTTCTTACAAAAGATTACAATTCTTTGGATGGTCTAACTTTTCTTTGAAATCATTTGAAATTGGTAAAACGATTCGATCATAAGTACGGACAGTCGAATTTCAGACAAGATGATGTCAAGGTTGAGAACGAAGAGGATCACGAAAAGAAAGTGTGTGTCGCGTCGTTCGTCCGTTCGTTCGTTCGTTCGTTCGTTCGTGTGTATCGTCTATGAATTACTCCTTTTTCTAGGTAGTGGTGTTCAGCACGTGTCATGTTTCCTTCGGACACGATGGAAGACCAGCCAGGATATTCTACTCAGATATACACCGACGAACTTAACAATCTCACGGTTCCGCTCTTCTACCTGCGATCCAAAATCAGAGGAACAAACGAACTCAATAAAAATTTCACTCGTCTCCTACGTATTCTAATTTTTTTGAATCAATATAATCGCATTTAAATTATGATTTCACTTCATTTAAAAAAAAAAAATTCTATAATTGAATTTTTATTTTTAATCGAAATAATCAAATGAGATTGGACAAAAATATTATTCTACGTGAAAATTAATTTGTTTTTTTAGAGGGTTCCTGCTAAAGAAAAGAAAGAAAAAGAAAAAAGAAATAAAATTAGCCTCGAAACAACATTGAAATTTTCTAAATAAAAAAACCTATAAATGTCGTTATAATTTTACTCTAAAAAATAAACAAATTTATTTAGAAATATCCTAGTTTTAAACTAAACAATATTGAATAATATTTGGAACACTCTGTATTAAATAAAAATATATTAGTTTGGTCAATAAGTCTGTGTGCAATTTTTTTTAAATTAATTAACACAGACATATTGACTAATAATTTAATTAAGCATAATGTTGTAAACAAACAACTTAATCCGAAAAATTTACGAAATATCACCCTGCAATAATATTACAGTGAATGGGTTTGAAAAGTTTTAAGCCTAACATAAAAAAACAATATTATTTTGTCAGTCAAATTAACTTTTATTTTTTGACATAGTCCTTCTTTCTCTTTTAAAACGTTTTTAGAAAAGAATAATAAATTCAAAACTATTCAACCCACCCACATACAATTATCACATTACAGCAATGCCAATATATTAGCCCTTGACCTAAATTTGAATACTTTTTGGAAATCATGATACTATTAATATTTTCTGTATAATAAATGTTTAATAATTATTAAACGTGATAATTAAAAATAATATAAGCAATGTTTTAATACCAATCACGAGTCTTAAATATGACGTATAAAAATTGTTCGTAAATTTTTTTGGTATATATATAAATTGGTAAAAGGGGGTTGCGTATATTGCGAATAATTCGAGTTACGAGCGAATCCGAAAGACGGATGTCCGTTTGAAGAATGAGTCAGACAGATGTTACCCCACCATGAATGTTCCAATCGCGTAGCTGCCTCAGCATCCCCGAAAGAGGTACGAAAGTATATAAGATTCGAACGGTCTCGGTAAAAGCACAGACCAGTCTTGTACAACTTGGAGAAAGTATTATCGTGATAAACAGCGAGAGTCCATCGTAAAAGGTTCACAAGGTGTGTGGAAGAAATTTCCTGTGTAATCAACTTGTGCAAATAGTAACAGGTATCTATCAATAACAAAATTCGTTAATTAAACATTTTTAAAAATATATAATATTATTTAAAGAATTTTTTATTTATCTAATTTCAATTATTTCCATAAAATAATAGCAATTAATTAATTTAATTATAATAATCGTATTGTTTGATATATTAGAAAATGACGGATAGGGGTTGGGGAGGGAGGTAATTAATACAAAAGTTAATTGAAAAGTTTTAAACACTAATGTCAAAAAATAAAATTGAATTTGTTTAACAAAAAAAAAAAATGACCTCCAATCCATCCTCATCTTATAATACAAACTCGTGCATCCCTTTTTAAGTGAATCTGAATTTAATTTATAATTTTCTTTTTTTAACAGATAGACATTAAAAAAAGAAAAGACAAAAAAAGAAATGAAGAAAAATGTAAAGAGATTCACCTAAGACAGGGTTCAACGATTCCTTAAACTTTCTCCTCGTTGCTTCGTGTCACTTGAGTAGTTGTCGAAGTTGTCTGAGAAAATAGCCATTGTGTGTTAACGATGAACGTTTAACAAGACGATTTCTTTCCATGGCCTATATAATATTATCTGTAACTATTTGAACGTTTCTTTTTTTTTTTTAAATATTTCACTTTTATCATTGTCTATATTTGGAACTTTTAGTCCCGTTCTTACGTAAGAACTTTCACCGTATCGAAACAACGTCTTAAAGAATAGACCAAACATCTTTTTTTCTTGGTATACCCGATATAAAAGAATATATTAAAGTTCTGTTAACCAGTCAAACGACTTTCTCTCAACTTCCTCTTACTTTCGTTGACCCTATCGGTTACAGGATCGCATCATCGTTCAATTATAACTGATCACCTTCTACGAAACTTTTCAATTCACTCATGTAACTACTCGTTCAAATAAATCAATAATTAAATTTACATACAATTTGAGAAATTGATTAACTTGAATGAAAGAAAGAAAAACTAGAGCTATTCTAACTTTCAATTAAGAACATGAAAACAAAGAGTATCATCCTGTACCATTTAAACACTTCACCGTGCTTTAAACCGATGAATATTCATGCATGATGAATAAATTATATTCGATTCTTCTCTGCATACTTTTCTTTTTCTTATAATCTTCAAGTGCATCTTTCTTTCGTGTCAGTACGTTGGCTGAGTAATAAAAACAGATCGGAGAAAGGTGATATGCACTTTCACAAGACTTGCTTGAGTTAAAGCAAAGAAATGAAGACGTACACGCAACTTTGGTAAAACCCACGTCGCAATTGAATATCCATGAAATTTAGTAATCCTGACTATATAAATATTATGTAAATCGTGTAAGTTTTGCAATTAAAAATTAGCACTTACGAAAAACAAATTTGACAACGTATCAATCAAGTATTTTAAAAGTTCCTAAGAATTCTTATGATGAAATAAAAAAAAAATAAGTGTGTCAATGATGGTAATAAAACGGATGAAGATGAAGAAGAATGATCGAAAAATGATATGAGAATTAAATTATTATTGTTACCTTGAAAGAATATGACAAAATGATACTTTTCCTCTTTGAATTATGAATCGAACGACTAGATCACACCTACGCATGATCATAATTTGCATTAATTCTCGAGTATAAAGAACTTTCTATACATTTACATAAAATATTTGTTGAAAAAGAAAAGTATGAAAGGAAAATCGAGAGAGAAAAAAAATTCAAATGAAATTAGACGAATTGATATTTCATTGAAATTTATTTGTATTTTTTAGAATGAAATTCTGGCCAATACTGCTAGCGTGTCTAGCAACATGTACGTTGGCAACTCAAGTGACGTATCAGACGTCATCTTCATCGCAGAGTTCAAGTAATACGAACCAAAAACAGCAGCAATGGTCTTATCAAGTTCAAGATTTGCTTGCTGCATCTAACACGCAAGAAGAATCATTTCATCCCGTTTCATTTACTGCACCTGATGCTCTCAAACAAGAACAGTCGCAGCAACAGCAATTGTACAACCCTAATATCCAATCGCAATCTAGCGGTGTTGCTGAAGCGGTCGATCAACGAACGGTAAACACATTGAAATCAAAATACGATAGAAAAATATTATATTCAAAATTAAGAAACATTAATTAAACAACAACAAAAAACACATGTGTGATTTGCAGGTGGATTCTGTGATCGATAATATTCTCATCTACAATCGACAGGGACGCAATCTCGAAGGTTACGATGAACTCTACGCTGATCCTGACGTGAAAAATGCTCTCCAATTAGGAAACGATACTGTAGCTCGTAGTTACATCAAAGATAAACTATGTTCGCTAGGTCTCATGAACGTGAGTTTAATATTTTATTTGCAAAAATAAATAATCAATATTTTATACTTCTTTCGTCTGAAAATAGTTGTCATATATGTATAAAAATGCACACACCAAATGTGACAACTAATTCGGAACGGAAGAAGTAATATTTTTAACTTCGATACTTTACAGTAAAATAAATAAAATTTTTGTATTTACACAGTGCGAGAATTTAGAAGGTCGTCGTCCATATTATTCACCCCACCGTGATATTCATCCCCAAGATGTAATCTACGCACAACCCGTGACAATAAAACCCGTTGGTCGCCCATTACCAGCCGTGCCAGTGAAACGACCATATGGTTATGGAAAACCAGGACCATTAGGACCTGGTTTCGCTCCTGGACCGATTTTATCAGGACCACCACCACCATCTTTCATCGGAGCCGGACATGGACCAATTTATTCTAGACCCCCATCAAGTTTTATTGGTTCACAGATTGGTCTGAAGAAACCAGGTGGACCTATATATGGTACAAAACCGATTTATGAACCTAGCATTGACGCCGAAATAGATTTCGATAATAAATTTCTTAACAAGAAGCAAGTGATCCTACAACAATCGGATGGTTCCGTACAACAACACGTTCATCATCATTATCATCATGGAGATTCGATTGCTAACGCTGGATCCACTCCGATAATTGGACCTGGTCCAATTGGAAGCAATGGTTTCAATGCATATGGTTATGGCAGTGGTGGTTCTTACACTGGAGCAATCAACGACTTCGAAGATTATAGAAAGAATTTTAAAATTAAAGCAACTAACTCCGGTAACAGTTTGAACGAAGCAGCATCGTCCAACAGTTATGCGAATGCTTTTCCAACTTACGAGAAAATAAAGGGTGAATCTACAATCGGTGGATTAAGTTCGGTTAATACGGGAAAACAATATTCTGGATTCGGTTCAAGCAATTCCTACATAGCCAATAATAATTTTGCTTCAAACAGTAACAACTTTGCCAGTGGTCTTGGATCTTTTGAAAATGGTTTCGACAATGGATTGTCATCGTCAAGTTACGAGGACTGCGTGTGCGTACCTTACGAACAATGTTCAACCATCAATCATGTTGGACGTAAAGATGATCTTTACCTGGCAATCGATCCTCGTAATCTTGGTAAAGATATCGAAGCTGAAACTGTTGAAGTTGTTGTCACGGATGGAAATGGTACAATGAGCGTCGTAAGAGTCCCAAAAGGAGTCAACATAACTAATGAAAATGAATATCGCAAAACTCTGGAAAACAATGATCAAATATCGGATTCTGAAGAAAATAACGATTTTGTTCCAAGTGAAAAAAGATCCAAGAGAGATACCACTAAGAGATCTGAACATAATGAGGACAAAAAATCGGAAGCTCAAAGCGTAAGTTGAAAATTATTTCTATCGTTTCTACTACTTTAAAAACGAGCTATCTGTTCGTAGCGAGAATCAATCCAATTCTAAACTTTCCCTTTCTCATTTTCTCTCTGACTTTCTTTATCTTTATTAATACATTTATGATATTACTATTGTCGATTAAATTATAACAACAGCAAGGAAACAAATGCTCGCCTCGAACCGAATGCTCGGAAGTTCATTACTATTGCTTTTATATATTATCAAGAATATTTATCACTTTAACAGGCTTCCGTTCAACGTTGTTGAGGTGGGTAAAAAAAAAAAGAGAGATCCGAGTTTCGATTGATATATATGTCGATAATTATGTAAATGTAAAAATTAGGTAAATAATCGAAAAGAGAAAGGGAAAGAAACTAATGGTAAAGCTGCTAACACTTAGAGCGTTTCTTAAAAATAAAAAGAAAAAAAAACCAAAACTCGGATCTCTAAGTGAATCTTCGACTCTCTCGTTGCAGAGATTAATTGTCGGAGATTTGGACACCTCGAAACTGAACGTGAAGCCTACTTGGGGAGTTAGTTTCGGTCTCCCCCAAACTAACATTAATCCAATAAATCCATACTATGGAAACGGTGGAAACGGTATAAATCTCGGTTTGGTATCCGTAAATCCATTCGTAGCTGTGCAAGTCACCAAAGATGAGTACGGGGAGAAAGTGATTAAGCCATTGGTGAATCTACACTTAACACCAAATCCAGGACTCGTTCATAAATTGGGAAACTTTCTAGCGCATAAAAAAGAAACTCTATTGGGCAATTACGCACCGGAGTATTATCCAGCAGGGCCAGTAGTTTACGAAAAACCGATTAATCATTACCCTTCCAAACCCTATTACCCAATTAACCATGGTGGTCCTTTTTATCATGAAAAACCCTATCACCACAATTACCATCATTCCAATTATCATCAGAGTCCTTTCTACCAAAGTGGCTATTCTGATTATTATCGTAATGATGACGATGATTACGACTACTCAGACGATTTAGAAGATTATAATGATTACTATAGAAATTCTCGTACAAATGCATCGTACAACGACGATGCTAGAAGAAATCATTACTCCGCTAAGAGTTCATCGAACGAAAGACAAAATGGAAAGATAGCTTTTCGAGATAGAAAGAAGCGTGACTTGAAAACGATCGATAAAACGGAGGAGGTAAGAACTCGAACGTAGAACTGTCCTCCAAATCAGATTCATCAAAGTGTTGCAGGGTCATTAGAAAAACGACATGATTACCAATCGCTGACAGGAACCAAATGACGTGATATCGAGTTATGCAAGAATGCATTGTCATTATTGTACAAACCATTTTAAGTATAAATAATTCATTCATCATATCGATCTTAGGAATATCCTTTTAAAGACAATATTGTGGACATGTTCATAATTATTCATTAAACATCAAATGAATGTGTAATTAATATTAATAATATTATACTCATGTTTATTCTTTATTTCCGAACAGAGACAATTCGGTCGTCCACCAGCTTGCGGTCCACGTCACGTTTGTTGTCGAAGTAGCCAGATAATTGGTTCGCGACCACGACCTGGTCAATGTGGTACCAGATATACCAAAGGTGTTAACGCTAGGATCAAAACTCCAGCATACGTTGACGGAGATTCAGAATTCGGTGAGTATTCAATTACAAGTAACCAAAAATATTTGTACAAAAATAAAAGGAGACTATTATAGCAATTAATTTATATTTATATATTTAGGTGAATATCCTTGGCAAGTGGCTATATTGAAGAAAGACCCCACCGAGAGCGTTTACGTTTGCGGTGGAACATTGATATCGCCACGACACATTATTACCGCTGCTCATTGCGTAAAAACCTATGCTGGACGTGATCTAAGAGCTAGATTAGGTGAATGGGATGTCAATCACGATGTTGAATTCTATCCTTACATCGAACGAGATATCGTCAGCGTTTATGTGCACCCGGAATTCTATGCTGGTACTCTTTACAACGATATGGCCATCTTAAAACTTGATCATCCAATTGATTTCGATAAAAACCCACACATCAATCCTGCTTGTCTTCCGGACAAACGTGACGATTTTAACGGAGCAAGGTTTGTAATACACTGATCGTAATTATAAAACTTACAAATGGAAAACATCGTTTATTTATTTTTCTTTGATGTTCTTGTTCAGATGTTGGACTACCGGTTGGGGTAAGGATGCTTTTGGTGACTTCGGAAAGTACCAAAACATTCTTAAAGAAGTCGATGTGCCTGTTATAAACAACCAACTGTGCGAAAGTCAAATGAGGAGAACAAGACTTGGACCAAGTTTCAATCTTCACCCTGGTTTTATCTGTGCCGGAGGAGAAGAGGGTAAAGATGCTTGTAAAGGAGACGGTGGTGGTCCCATGGTCTGCGAACGTCATGGACAATGGCAACTTGCTGGAGTTGTGTCTTGGGGTATTGGATGTGGTCAAGCTGGGGTTCCTGGCGTCTATTCTCGCGTTTCTTTCTATCTCGATTGGATCCGACAAGTGATCAATCAATATTAATTTATTCATACTAATTAATTATTCTTCTCGAAGTAAGCTCCCGTAGTCTAAAGTTCGCTATCAATAACATATTGTGGAAGTAACCACAATTGTATTATTTATTTTGCCTCTCGTGATATTGAATTTTATTTAAATCTTTTTTTAAAACAATTCTCTCATTAGGTTGGCCACCATTGTATATTTAAGAAATAATTTATTGTACATACTTTTGCTAAAAATAACTCGGGCTTATAAATATAATATTTAACATATGTTTATTTAATGACTTCGTTCGATTCACGATATCGATCGTAATCGTCAAATATTTGATGAAAAAATGTGATTCGGACTTTAAGCTAGTTCGGATCGAGAAGTAATGCATTTTCTTTGCAATCTATTTATATTTTTATCAATAAATATAATCATCTTATAATATATTTATATTTGCATTTATTTATTGTACATTTACCATACCCACACATTCTAAAGTACTACAAATTGTACGCTGATAATATCAACACCTACTTTATCTACACTTACATAAATGCCATCTACAATCGATTTACTTCTACTTTTTTTCATGTTATGATTTTAGGTTATGTATAATCTGTACTAACCAAACTTTTTAATTCTCTAAATAAAAAAGGAAAAAAATCAGTTAAAATAAGTAAGAAATAATGTTTAATTAATTAATATTACAAATTCTATTCATATTAAATTTGATGATCATGTTACAGTAAACATTTTATTATATTAAAGTAAGAAACTTTAAAAAAATGCCTATTAAATATATTGGTCGCACAACATCATTTAAAGGGAAGACGTTATGGGAAATCTTAGGAAATTTAAAAAATTTTGGTGTAGGAAGGATGGTAATACGTAATAGATTTCAAAGATATCCTGAACCTTGTTTTATGAGAATACTTAAAATTGCTACTCTACCTGCTCCAAATAAGGAACTGCAACCACATGTAAGTTATAAAACGGTTTATAATATTTTCCCATATAAATCAAAATACAAATTCTAATGTTTAAATCTTATTCTACAGGAAGATCGAAAGATCGTAGCTCTTATTGAAAATACTTTCCGTGGAAAAACCTATCCACCTGAACAAATAGACGGATGTACTTATAAGGCAGATTATGTTTTGATCCCTAAAGACGAAGAGGAAAAATATATGTATTACAATGATCCATTGAACCCAAGAATAGTACCAAGAACAATGGAATATCCACCTCTCCTGAAGGAATTAATAATTCGTCAACGACAAGCAGCAGGAGTGACAGTCAAAGAGGATCCACAATTAGAAATTGTCTACCAATGGAATGGAGTAAAACGATACAGGTTGGCAGAAGAAGGAGAAGAACCTACTGTTAAATTTGGAGTAGATCTTGGAACACCTATTAGTCCTAGTCTTTACGCGAACATCAGAAAAGAGTCGTCGACGACGTAAAGATTCATTACAGAATTATGTATATAAAGGATTTTGTCTTATAGATTTAAATTTAATAAATATGTTAAATTTAACAAATGTACCTTTGATATTTACAATTATGTTGTCTTATACTTTCCTAATAATTTGTAAAATTCGCACAGATCATCTATCTTCTTTTCCATTTTCAACTTATCTTTTGGTCCTGAAATGAAATTACACTTTTAACACATTCATTATCGTACCATAGACAAATTAGATTTCTTATTTTTTGTATCGATTATTATTACAAATGTGTAGATGTAACAATAGTAAAATAATACCTAAATCATTGTCCAGTAAATTTTGAGTAATATCTGCTTTCTCCTCAGCAAGAGCCTATGAGATTTACAAAATGAATCAACGCATTAATATAATATCAACGTATAATTATTATAATTTCAAATACCTTCCAAAATTGTCTCATTTCTTGTACATTATCACGTTTTCTAACTAACCAACCACGTACGTATTTTTGTATATACAAAGCTGCTTCCTCTTTGGTTAATAACCAGGACATTGGAAAGATTGGCCTTGGACTATAGAATACAATATTTTGAAATATTATATATAATTTTTTAATTATACTAATTTATCTCTGAACTTACTGTAAACGTAATAATAATTTAAATTGTGGTATCTCAAAAACCGTATGCCATTTAATTTTACGTTTAGGATATTTTGGATTAAGGTTCCACAAAATTTCAGCCAAATAATCGAGACCATTAAATCGACTTTTCTGTACCTAATTATAATTTATAAACAATTACTTTTAAATATATTGTTCATTCTATATATAACAAGAATTATCAAAGTAATTTACTTTAAGTACATCCCAACGACGAGCTTCAGCCAACATCTTTTCCATTGCTGGTAACAATAAAGGAAATATTTCTTTATTCAAATAATTCGATGGTTTATCTTGATAAGGAACTACGATTGACGAATCTTCCTTTTCTTTTTTCCATTCGGTATATTGAGCTCGTTTTTCCTCGTATTCATCAATAATAGACTGCCATAAATTGTATTCTTGTTTATCGTCAACACGCGATTCTCTTATGCAAGAATTCTGTTCTTTTTGACACTGAATATCATTTTCAATATCCTGAATACAACTGAAACAAAATTTATTCTTGGCAATGTATTCTTTGGCTAACGTAGAAAACATCACATCGATTTTTTTTTTTTAAATAAATAATTAAATTATTTAAATGACAACTCTCTCGTTCTCTCTTTTTTTTTTGTATTCGTTCGAAGGAAGAAAAAATAATGAATGAAGGCAATCGATCAATCGATCGTAATTATTGTGTCAATATCGAACATAACATTTGGTTAATTATATTCTGTCAACATTGATTTAATGTAAAATTGTAGTATACAACAAAATGCTTTAACAAGAATATAAATAATTCAAACGTTACGTTTTTTCGTTTATTTGAAGTTTATAAAATATTTGTCTAAATGAAGCTGGTTTATTCGATTTCGATCTTAACAGACCGCAAGAATTTAATTATTCAGGCAAACGTAACATAGCCTATGTACAAAGTTATTGGTAAATTAATTTTAAATAGGATTATAAACATAAATGCTTCATTGCCTTCCACAATGTCCAACAGTAAGACGGCAACTTAGGGAAGAAGGTACATTACATAATTACTTTGTTTTATTAGATCAACATATTTATCAATTAATAGTAAATTATTTGTTTAATAAATGGCCAGTATATTTACGAAAATATTTTGTTTAATATAAATAATTAAATATCAAACATTTTCTACAATATTGTACACATATGATATTAAAATAGAAAATATGAAATTAATCAACTTGGATAGAGAGTAAATTACTGATTTCATAAGTGACGCGTTATTTTATAAACAAAATAAACAAAATAATGGGCCCTGCATTAAAAGGCCCTCTAAAAAATAACATGTTACTGAAAGGTACACTCAAATTTGATGATAAATACTGACCATTTATTAAATACATTAATTAAAAATATTTAAAAACACTGACCCAATAAATAATAGGTATCCCTTAACTCCAATATTCGATATTTTAAAATATTTAAAATAAATAATAAACAATAATAATAATAATATTATTATTATAATTTATATTTTGTATATTTTAATATTTTATTTTTTAATTTAATATTTGTAATATTTTTTTCTCCAAAATTAATTCGTTTCGTAGTCAGAAAGGCAGGTTGGACAGATGAATATCTCCGAAAAGTCATCGATGCTCACTCAGTTGAGATCGGAGATGATTTGGATCCAGCAAAGATCTATCGAAAAGAAAAACCTGTTCGACGTAAAACAATTCATAAAGTACCGTTAAGTCATCGCAAACAAAGAGTAACCAGCAAAGATTTAGAACACGACGATCGATATAAGGAAAAAAGATATAAGGAAGAAAAAAGATATAAGGATTATCCTGACAAAATAGTTCAAGATTCGATACCTATTACTGATTATAAAGAAATTATCGATGATGACGATGAAAAACCTGTAGCTACGTTGAAACAAGAAACTGTTTATTATACAAAAGAAAAGGAAATCGCTCATGTGGCACCGTTAGTTGAACGAGTTAGTCCTAGTTTAATAAAAAGGCCACAAATAAAAGAAGAAAGAGACATTGAAAGTTCAATTGAAGATCAAAAATTAATATCTTATGAAGAAGAAAAAGTCAATGATAATGCAACCATCTATTCAAAAACTGAAATTGAAAGTTCAATTGAAGATCAAA